ATCGCACTTAAAATTAGTTGCGTAGAGCCTTACAATTCCCCACATAGCGCCAGTCACGTCGCCAATAAGGCTCCTTATCATGTCAGTACTTGTGGACTGACATTGCATTCGTAATTGACAGCCGGAATGTGGTGCTCGCACTGCAATTAATGCTGAAAGGCATGCAATAACGTTGGCTTTAACAGGCCAATGAAAAATCTACGAACATGTTCAATAAATGTTGCCAACTTATGAATGCTTTGTGAATCGAAATAAATATCAAACTTTGGCTTTCTCGCAAGATGTTTCTTATTGCAGTAAAGCCACATATACAGGCGTCTGAAGCAAACGTGCAGACGTTGCAATCGCATCGCCCTGTTGATGGATATACGTATACTATATAAGACAAGTTGGAAATATGAGCTCGATTCGGAATCATGCCGGTGCAACATTTTGATCTGTCGAAAACTGCTTGCCATTGGCTTGCTGGCATCGCCAATCGTGGGCGGCCCTTGCTGCGTCTTCTGACAAACTGCATCTTTTGAACTACTTTGTGAAGAGCAACACGAAAACATCACGACACGCGTCCCTTTTCTGCCACGACTGCAGCTTGCATGCAAGAAATCTGCACTTGTGTACACAAACTGGCTGATTTAGAGCGGTTAGCGGTACAGACGCCAACCAGTCGTTATAGCGGACATAATACTAGCGAAGGCGGCTGACCAATGAGGACCGTTTCGATAACGTTTTATTATTTTGTTTTCTGAGCAAGGCAGTACCAGAGAGAGCGCATCCTACCAATTTAGCTGCTTTCACTCGGGTGGCATGGCAACGACCAATGACGGAGGACTATAGCAGCAGGGTCGATACTGGTGGCGACGCCCCACTCTGCAAGCCCGCCTTTTGGCAATGCTGGCTTCTCGGAAGGAAGATCTGAAAGAGCATCGTGTCTCTGGTGCAGTAAGCAATATGCATATAGGACGCACAGTTCGCTTCGTTTTGTTACTATATCGACGTACGCCAGGTGCCACAGGAAAGATGGCTTTTGTAATTTGTCAAGGACGAATTTATGGTAATGTGTGGGTAATGTTTACCTGGAACTGCTGTTATTAATTTTAGTGGAGCCGTGAAAAAGACTATGTAGCCATTTAGGCTGTTCCTGACGCATTTCACCTTTGCAAAAACAACATGAGTTGCTGTACTTTGTTTTGCTATACTTAGTCCCGAAATACTAACAACTTTTTTGCTGATGTCATAAGCGTGACATAGCGTATTAAGGAACCCAGTCAAAAGATTTATCGTCACTGAACTGGTCGAGTGTTGCAAAAATGTGGACTTTCCATTTCTGGCCCTCTTATTCATGTTGAAACAGCTAAACGAAATAAGCAGATTCGAGCCCCTTTGGATTCACTCAAGCGAGAGAATATGATGGCAACCCTCTTATCAGTGGTGGATCCAGGGTATGGCCAGGGGGCTGGCTTAAGTAGTTTGCTTCAGTTAATACAAAAGACTAAGCTATATGAAGAAAGTTGCACCGAAAGACCACACTACAGTCTGCGAGAACAAAAGAAACGAGCTCCTCGAGCAAGAACCAAGTATGGAAAACAAAGTGTTGCTTACCAGGTACCTCAGGTTTTAAATACCCTTGCAGATCAATTGAACTTTAGGGCTAGTAGTGCGACTTTCAAGAAACAAATAAAGAACTTATTCATAACCACCGGTCTACACTATCGAAACTACGTAATGGAGTCTCATGCCTCTGCAAATGCTTAAATTGTTCATAAATTTCTATGTAAATTATACGAGTGTATACAGCGCAATTCATTGTATCCGCATGCATTTTGTGCCTGTTCTTGAGTTGTTTCATTGATATCGTTTAGTTGTGAATTTTTACGAGAGTGACCTCTACTTCTTAAAATGTGTTATGTAAACTTCTTATGCTATTTATGTTTGAATTTTGTGTTTACAATTTCAGGTTGCTTGAAACCAATGTATTGAATATATATATTGTTTGTCAGTGCTGATGTCTAAGCTTTGCACTGTCACGGACTGCGGAGTGACAAGGGCCTTTGTCAGGCTGTTCGCCTTTAGCCCTTTGCCCCTGCAGTGAGCTCTGTATCCGGCTTACTGTAAATAAAAGTACTACTACTACTACTACTACTACTACTACTACTACTACTACTACTACTACTACTACTACTACTACTACTACTACTACTACTACTACTACTACTACAATATCACCACCCCGAAATTTGTAATTTTCTATAGGCATATACTTTACGCGCATGAATACAAACATACGCACGAACATTCAAAAAGATGCTCTTCTCCCCCCCCCCCCCCCCAAGGGCGGTACCAGCAAAGAGACCAGGAGCCCCCCCCCCTTCCCCCGCAGAAAGATCCTTGCAAAAGCACTTACCCATGTTGAAGAGACATGGCGTGCAAACATGGACAGAAAAGTCCAGACATTAGAAACGCCAACTAACGACTGAAAAGTTGCGCAGTGGCTGGAAAGAAGCTGGATGTAAAAATTACCTCGCATGCCCAGGTAATAGGCGGTACTTAGTAATCGGCACACGTGGTGATCTGTTTGAGAGATCGCAATTCAGAATTTTTGAATTCTTCTTTGCAAGTAATCAGTGGTTGGATAACACACGCTTTATCACTATTGTTGACAAGCCATGAGCTCAACCATGAGACGGGTTTCTTCACGTTTGCGCCTGTACAAAACTGCGCGTCTATCGAAGTTCGGCTTGAATTTGCACTCTCGGCAATTTAAAGATGGATTACGTGGTGAGCCTCCGGTTACCGATCGCTTATGTTTCATTAATCTCTATTTGACATGGCGACCCGTTTGTCCTACGTAGAAGCAGCCGCCGCTAAACGAAGTCTTATACACAACACCTGTACGGCAATCAGTGAATTTGTTGGTGTGTTTTACTAAACAATTGCTAGTCCGTTTTTTTTCTATTACCCACGTATGTCACCAAGTTCGCATCGGGAATGACCCTGCTGGCATTTCCTGCGCCAGGTTTTTCTGGATTTACAGCGCGGAATTGAAAACCTATTTTTTTTTAAATACAAATGTCCTGATACTTGCGACAATGTTTTCAAGATTCACAGTAGGTGAACATTTCTTAAGCACTTACCGGGTTCAAATCAACAGTCAGCACGTGCCATTCAAAGGTAACAATGTGTTAATGCCGGCCAGATTGCCGATTACCAGAAATAACCCAAAGAGAGGTCTGTTACTGTTTGACCCGCAGGTTGCGGCATCGAATCCCGGCTGCGGCGGCTGCATTTCCGATGGAGGCGAAAATGTTGTAGGCCCGTGTGCTCAGATTTGGGTGCACGTTAAAGAACCCCCAGGTGGTAGAAATTTCTGGAGCCCTCCACTACGGCGTCTCTCATAATCATATGGTGGTTTTGGGACGTTAAACCCCACATATCAATTAATCTGTTACTGTTTGACACATTTTTCGACAAACAGTGACAAAGAAATAAAACAGTATTCTCTGCCTGTCCATGGACCGAGTTCTTGCGAAACTAAGGTTCAGACAAGGCACGATGGAATGGAAAACCGGACAGACAAGCCTGGAACTATCAACGGTGCAGTCTCATGACGACTCGTCTCAACTCATGCCTGTAGCCTAGTAGGCAGGTTTGAAATTCAGACGGAGGGAGGTGTTTTACCCATGACAAACAATAAAATTGGTGTTCTTCACCTATTTTTGTGGTGACATTAGCAGCACGTGTGATAGCGGAGGCTTATCACGTCGAGAAAGCAGATATCACGGTGATCGTGTACAGATTCGCAGATTGATTGCCTTGCCGCTGATAGCTATGCGCTGCCATTCTTGTTCTTTCAAGCGATACTCTTGAGGCCATTAGCTCACGCGTGCACTTTCAATAAAACAGGAAAGAGTACTCTGCCGATAGCTAGATCCGTTGTTTCTAGCTCGTGTTTTAGTTTCAAAAAACGTCATATATCTATCGACAATTCGTATTTTAATCTCGAATAGATTCCAATGCAAAAGCGTTAAAAAGCTCGTTCTGCAGAAGCTGCAGTGTCGGCGGCATCTTTAACGGGTGCGCTTTTCGTGTCTTGTCGGCGAAGTTTTCCCGCGTCCACACTCTCGCTTTCCATAGTTTCGCCGTCAACCGAGAAGCAAAGCCAGGCTAATGATCGGGAAGGCGATACGAACATGGTTCGATTACGCTATCGCATTCTACTGTTGAAAGCGAAGCTCGAGCATCCTCCAGTTTGTTTTTTTTTTTTAGAAAAATAACTGAATTAAGATATCACTGATACAACGCGTGCATTGTGAAGCTGCTCAATTAGAGAAATAAATAGATGATTCTGCTATTTAAAAAGCCATTCAATATGTGTCTATGTTGTCAACGAACGTACTTTTTGAGTCCACTCGCGACAGACCCTGGCTGGCCTATGTTCCTAAATGCCACAGTTTGTCTTGCATTCATGGGGCACAGAAAAAACGCACGTCTGTTTCAGTAGCAAGCACATCAAATATACATCGCTTCAGCACATATTTCTTTACTGCCCAAACAAATTCTCATGTCCTTCATGATTATCTCTAATGTATGGGAGTAAACATAGCACTAAAATATGAGTACTAATATAGTACTAATATAAAACTAATATATACTAATGTGTAATAATGTATACAAATATAGTACTAATATATATTTTTTTCAGATACGTCTCTTTTGCTAGTTATTTGTGGGTTCGAACGCATCAACATAATCTTGTTTCAAATTACGCGCCAAAAACATTATTGATCTTTGTTATACTAAAACTATATGTGTGCAACTGTACGGTATATCTTGCATCAGTTAATATGTTTAAACGTTCTTATTATTGAAACGTTAATAGAAATGCGTCTGGGTTCTTGCTGTTTTTTTTTTTTTGCGTAACAATATTTTAACTTTAACCGTGCTGGCAACTGGCAACGCTGACAAGCTCGTCGGCTTGCTTAGACTTGCTACCAGAGGGCAGGGGTGTTGTGCTTGTAAAAGTGTTCTGGTGCTCTCCGTTTCAAAGTACGGCAGTTTATATGATCCACAATGTCATATAACTACGTCGTGACGGCCCACAAGCCGACTGGCGTGTCTGCCTGCGCTACAGGTCAGTAAAAAGAACGCTGTATTCTGTCGTAGCATGCTGCGCAGCTTTGCCGCGATGCTTGCCGCTGCCGCCTCGCTTCATCAGAGAGCACATGCCTCGAGTCTTGGCACTGCAAAAGCGCGTTGTATCGTTGTTAGACATCGTGTACGCTCCAGAATTCTCACAGTTACTTACTCTGAATGTAGCCGTCTCCCGGTGAGGTTGGTGCGCTCACATCGAGCGCTATTTGCCGCGTCGAGAATAACGCCGTCGCCACTGTTCAGCGATGTTTACCTGCGTGTGCCCCGTCGGTATGCCGCTTAGCTTGGCGTTTCTTCGCCCCTGCTTCGCTATTCGCCCGTAACCAGTTGGAATTATGACGGAATTGCTTCGGGCCTGCTGCTGGTTTCATTTTGCACCGCACCAGTTGAGTGCGAGATAGTTCAGCCGTCAGGGTGGGACTAGCCGCGCGCTTGGCCTCCGACACCGCCAAGACCGCTCGCCAGGCGTTTTCAGGGTGGTGTTGTTGACTGTCTCACTTTTACGAGGCTACGTTCAGCGCTGCTAAAACGAAACTTGGTGTGGTGCTCACTTTAAGCCGTGCACACAGTGGGCACATTGCTTTTGAACGCCCGGGTGTGACAAGCGTGCACGTGTTTGTTTCAGGCAACTTCACGTCACCGGATGATATCAACCTTATCCTCGCCAAAAACACTCGCATCGAGATTTATGTCGTTTCCCCAGAAGGCCTCAGGACCTGTCAAAGAGATCGGCATTTATGGGAGGATAAGTATTATGAAGCTTTTCAGACCGCCGGTAAGCTCTAAATCTTGTTCCCTATCACCCACATGAACAGCTTGTGGGCCTCTGGCGCGTCAGATGTGTTGCTTAGACAGAGAAACTTGGCCTAAGTTGAACCTGTCAAAATCTGCGAGCTTTTTGTTTTTTGGCAACAATACATCAAATTTTATTCCTGTCATTACCGAAACGAGCACGTTATTGTCGAAAGCCCTGTCAGATTTCAGAAAGAAACACTGAAAATTAGGCCTTTATAGGTATAACGAAGGAAACGTGCGTTTGTGTTTAAAAAACATTCAATATCTTGTGTGTAAACTATGCAGTAAGCACATACATATAGTAAGCTATTCAGTAAGTTTATGAATGTAATGATTCACTTTTGCTTGTTTTTTTCGTGAAGGGGGAGAAGAAAGACCAAATGTTTTTCTTGACGGCGAAGTACAATGCGGCAATACTGGAATGTGTCCACTACGGGGACAGCATCGAAATTATCACCAGAGCACACGGCAACATTGCTGTGAGTTTCTAATGGAATCCTTGTTTGCTGCAATGCTAAAAATTTGTGCTATTATTTCCAGCATGCTAACTGTCTGTGGTTTGCTTGTCAGGCTTTTCATAGCGCATTTCTTGAAAATGTCTGTAGCGGAAACTTCAGTCTTAACATGAAGTACATGCTGTGTACATTGAATTACCAGAACTAAATAATGGTTGCACCTTTCTGTGCTTGCTTCCCTTAGCTCATTTCTGACTCCTTGGCAAGTTGTCTTCACTTAAGCTCACATACTGTAGGGTGCACACAATGCCCCTCAGCCTTGAGTAGCTCTGGAAAGCATTACACACTCAAACTTGCGTACGAAGGGTCACATACCCTTCATATGCCTGAAATAAAACTTTGGCTACCTCCCCCCCCCTCCCCACCCCCACTCCTCTGGCTAATAACGTGCCACGGTGGCCTAGAGGTTATGGTGCTCAACTGCAGACTCGAACGTCGCGGAAACAAAGCCCGGCCGCAGCAGTTGCATTTGTGATGGACACAAAAATGCTTGGAACCCATGTGCTTAGGGTCCCTGCAACACTTTTTGAGCCCAAGAACGCGCGAGCCAAATAATATCGCACAGCAGGTGGCCTGGAATTCACAATAAATGATCAAATTCAGCTAGAAGTTGCTTTCTTTTCTCTCGACAAAGAACGGAAGACCCTCAAGAATCACTCGTAGGAGGCCATATGTCAGCCATTGGCTGATTTGAACATGGCGCGCCCGGTCTTTACTGGGATGTCGGCGGGAGGCAGCGACTTGTCCACGCGTGCGATCACACTGAAAAAGCCATGTATTTGAAATAGAAAAAAGTGCCCAAAGTCACGTGGCGTATTTTCTTTGCCCCTGCCATTCTTCTCTGCTTAGCTTCCAGCGCTTTCGTCGGTACGAGGGAATGCGATTGCAGCGTGCAATAAATCTTTTTAACTTTGCTCGTACCGGATGGATTCTTAAAATTTTTGCGGCGTTGAATTCATGAGGCGATAAGTTCTTATAGTGAGTCCATATCATGGTTACCTGCAAAAGTGTTCAGGGTTTTTTTAGATATAAGTGCACGTTGAAAAACCCTAGGAGGTAGCTATTTTCGGAGCCCTCCACTACGGAATCCCTCATAATCATATTGTGGTTTGAGACGTTAAATCCAACAATTATTCTTTGGTTAATTTTGTGAGCCAACAGTCGTAAACGTTGTCAGGAGAATAAATGCCTCGGGGTTTATTGGTGAAGCAGCATATGCATAATAAAGATAACGGGGTTCTATCTCTGACATAAGGAGGCCAGAAACAGTTTGAATAATTTTGATCAAATACTTTGAGCCAGTAGAGCAAGTCTAAAGGATCATATGCAGACTGATTTTAAGCCTTCTATGTAAACAGGGTAATTTATTACAAGACTGAAAATGGCTAATTGCTACTGCTAGCAGCGACCCACCAAATAAGTTCTTAGCCGCCCACTTCCACTATGCATTGTAGTATTCCACCATAAGCAGCACCATCGACCACGGCGGCTGCATTTCCGATGGAGGCGGAAATGTTGTAGGCCCGTGTGCTCAGATTTGGGTGCACGTTAAAGAACCCCAGGTGGTCTAAATTTCCGGAGCCCTCCACTACGGCGTCTCTCATAATCATATAGTGGTTTTGGGACGTTAAAACCCCACACATCAATCAGCACCATCGACCAATCTGATCAGATACATTCTATCACTGACTAGGGAAAGTGGAAAGCAAAGTTCAACCTGATGTTAATGAAAAGGTTTCTGATCAGTGTTACATAAAACATGAAACTAAGGACATGTAGAGAAGCATCAACCCAATATCTGTCAAAATCCATGTGACGGCTATGAGCAATGCAACAAAGATCAGCGTTGCTGGAACACCAAATCCCCATTCGCGCAGCTGCTTCGACAATGAACTTTTAGTGGTGTTTGCATGACAGCAGCTACTCTGTGCCGGAAACTGATGTGATGCCTGTTATTATAATGTAAAGTGATATGTTTTGTTCGATAAAGCGGCATAAAATATTTCTGAAGGCCTTGCAGTAGACTTTTCGGACATTCCTGAGCACTCTGTTATTAGTTTGTCTATCATTAATACAGGTTCTAAACATGCCTGGCAGTTTCTAAATTTACCAAATTGAGCAAACGACCAAGTGAGCTGTCGCACGGCAACCGCTTTGATCAGTTGTGCTGTTGTCGCACTGTTTTTCACTCATGTGTGGTTTGCTTTTAATGGCGACATAGAAGGCTGTTCGATTTAATGCCTTGGTTTTCCTATATTTTTTTAATAATGTAAATTCTAGCAGTTTGCTGTACTCGGCAATGGTAGTAGGAAACAGCTTCCAGAAACCTTTATTTCTTACATTATGGTATGAAGCAAATATGCACTAGCTCCCGCTCAGCTTTATTAAGTATAAAACATGCAAAAGGAGGCTGTAGACAAAGTAGTGGTAAAAGGGATATGCACAACAGACATAATGCCTACTAGCTCACTTTAATTCACACCTTCTTTTTTAGATGTCCCGTAAAAGTCTTGCTCACAAACTAGTCTAACTCAAGTACGTCATGACGAATGAAATTTATGCTTCTTTGCCAGCAGCTAATTCTTCACTGCTTTCGTATAGGACACCTTCTCGAGGCCGTCTGAGACAGGCAACATTTGTATTATAGACCCTGAATGCCGGGTAATTGGCCTTCGTCTGTATGATGGGCTTTTCAAGGTCATTCCTTTGGACAAAGACAACAGGGAACTGAAAGCCTTCAACATCAGGTTTGTCGATGTGATTATTTTGGAGCATGATTGATGCCCAGAATGCCTTTGTTATTGGGGGATGTGGTGGTACCTGTGGAAATAGAGTTCTTTATTTCATAGAAGAATGTTTTGGTATGAATTTTAACATCAAAAGACCTGAAGTGCATTTTGTTCGTCTACATTTCGTGCACACTAATACATTTATCAAGATTTTTGCTGATTTCGTGAAAAAACTTGTTTCATGAGGGGAGAGAGCAAAAAGATTTTGAATTATCTGTTGAAGCAGCTTATTGCAAAAGATTCAGAAATTTGGCTATTGTGTTAATAAGGTACTTATTGCTAGGAAGCACTTGTCACAGAGAGAAAACATGTTCAGGTTCACTTCAAACATCTGCAATGTAGTTTCTCATGGAAAAAAAAAAAAAAGCTAGGAGGGGCACTGTGCGACACTCTAGAAGCCCAGTTTTAAAATTTATAATGGCGAATTGAGCTTTCACTTGATAAGCAAGCTGTAGTTTTTATAGCCACCTCACTTGGGCTGCGGCATCATATGCCCCAAAAGTAAACAGTCGTAATGCATGAAATCTGAGCTCAGTGTTTCATCCATCGTAAATACTTCACTGTTTAATCATCACCATCGCTTAAATCTACATGAATAACAGTATCTCTTGAGAACAGAGGAACAAGGCAACACTGAACGATGACTGGATAGGTTGGAATTGCTGCCATCAGGCAGGTACCACTAATCGCAGTGAACCAAACAGTGCTTAGGTGGGCAGAATCCTACTTGTGAGCTTTGTAGATGTGTTTTTTTTTTTGGTATTAGGAGGTGGTCAATTCACCAAGGCTAGCCACGTGATGTCACGCCCCTTCCCATTTTTTCCCTTTCACCACGTATAACCCAAGTTATATAACCCATGCATAACCCCAAGTTAGCCTTGGGGTTATGCAAAAGCTTCTATGAATATAGTGCCACTCGGTGCCATCTTGCTGCAGGATGGAAGAACTGACAGTGCAAGACATGGAATTCTTGCATGGCTGCAAGACCCCCACTATTGTGCTGCTCCATCAGGACAGCCAGGCGCGACACATGAAGACCTATGAGGTGTCGCTCAAGGACAAGGAGTTTGTGCGGGGTCCCTGGAAGCAGGACCATGTGGAAAGTGAGGCAAACCTTGTTATTGCCGTGCCGGAGCCCTTCTGTGGCGCACTCATCATTGGCCAGGAGTCAATCACTTACCACAATGGTGATCAGTTTTACGTCATCACGCCCCATCTCATTCGACAGAGCACCATTGTTTGCTATGGAAAGGTAGGTCGATGCTTGAACATATTTTGAGATAGGCTGTTCAGGATGTCTCCCATCCTAAGTTACTCTTGTTAGAGAAAGCCATGGTGGTAGTGCGAAAGCTCGATCAGTTGATGAAAAAGCTAGACTAAGAAACCTAGGCTGGTTCACATTTGTAGGTCTCACTGTCAAGGTGATTGGCACCAAAGAATGCTAATAGCCCGCCCACGCTAGCAGCAAGCCTGCTGTAATGGCACAGTGCTGTAAAATGTCTGCCACTTCCATGTGAGAGCAGTTCAAAATGCACGGCAAGCTTCGCCGGCAAAGCATTCAAGCCTTTGAAAAACATGGCCGCACTACCAAAAACGGTTGTCGTTCACATTGAATTTATTTATCAAGTGCGCGCCGTGCACTCTGTAGCTCAAAAGCTCCGAACTTGTGTTTCCATTTGCTTTAGATTCATGTCCCTAACCTGCAACAGTATGGTATTCAGGTCGATTCGGCACCGTTGTTGAGAGTCGTACAATAAGCTGTAGACATAGAAAGCAGTAAGGGGCTCCCCCCAAATATAAGGGAATCTCGTGTGCTGCCCAAATCTCAGCACTTCCCGTTGTGAATTTGTTACTTTCTAATTCTCCAATGCTGGTGCCACTTGTGCAGGTGCTAGCTTAAGGACATATTATTTGATCTTGCACTGCGCTTTTTTGAATGCCAGACAGGCTAAACTGCTCTATTAATTGCTGGAACCAAGCCTGAAATGACACAGACATCTGCACTTTTAGCGTGGCCGCTAAGCAAGAAGCAGGCAACTCTAAGCATCCTGCGGTAGACGCAGAAGAACGCCGAACTCTTTCATTACCACGCGAAAATGGTTGTTTTTCATATGTTTGGGAAAGATAGTTTTTGTCACTTTGAAAAGTACTCCGGCACACATTGCAGCATAGCAAACTTCGCACAATGAAATGCTCTTTCCAAAAAATATACGTTGTTGAGCAACAAAAAATCACGGCATATTCACAGTGTGAATGATGAGTGCGGTGAAGATTCAAAGGGTTTTATCGGTAAACCGGGAATCATTCGCTGACCTCGTCTGTCTGAATGTCTGTCTGTCCATCTAGTGGATACCGTATTTACTCGCATAATCCTCTTACTTTTTTTGCTAGAATACCAATGCAAAGTTGGGGGGTGCGAGAATTGCGCGGGGAAAACTTTCCACGAAAACGCAGGGAGCAAAAAAGAAAACGAAGTGGCTGCAAATCGGGATTCTCACACCAGCAACTTACAGCAAGCTTTAAGAAGTACTAATTAGAACTTACCTCAATAATAAAAGCAGAGGTTCAACGCAAGGCAAGATTTATTTAAGACACAAAAAGTGGAAGCAAATAGTTGAGAATTAGAATACCATACGCGAAGCTTGCGGGCGTAGCAGTAACGGTCGGCGCTCAACAGGAGCCCTCAAAAGGTAAGCGTAGGATGTCAGTATTGGGCTGATGGCTATTTAACAGAATCGTCCGCAGTTTCCTTCTGAAGAAATAAAGTTTACCATCAATCCCAGTTTTAGGCACACGGCAGGCCCAACGCGTCTTGGTGGCCTTCAGCTGTCGTCACCAGTAGCGAACACAAAACTCGTAGGCTCCGAAGGGCCTACCAGCGGCCCTGTTGCCGTTGTTTAGCACATGATGTATCACTTGCAACTTGAAGCAGCCGTGTGGCTTCAATATTGCCCCATAATGTGCCAAGATTACCGACACAACATACAAAGCACGCCGCAACGCGCACTGGCCACTTTGGCTTGGCTTGGATTGGATTGAATCTCCGTGCAATAGTATGGTTGATGCTTAAGAGATGGCGCATGCTATCATCATCAGTGGCTGGAACGAGCAGACGACATTGTTGCGGCAGTTTTCGGGGTTGCGATAATTACTCGAGGAAACAAAAACTTATTTTTCTTGGGCGATGAGGGGGGTGCGAGAATTATGCGAGTGCGAGGATTAGGCGAGTAAATACGGTACTTTAAGTACCCTCATCTCGCATCTTTTCATCATATATTTATCTTATAGAAGTACCGCCATCCAGCAGACATTCCAAAGACTAAAACGAGAGGTGGCTATTACATGCAGGAGACGCACGACCCTCGCCTTAAAGGATTATGACATGGTCACCCAGCAATTTGCGCTTTTCGGCAAAAAACGAAGGTAGAGAGTGAATATGCTTGCACACGAGTGAAAACTGAACTGTGAGGGATTATTCCAGTCCAAAATAAGCTGTAGAAGTCTTCGGCTGTAAACTCCACCTACCACCGTTAACCGCCATTTTACCTTGGCGTGCGTGACGTCACAAACCGATGGGTGCAGTGCTGTTGTCTGCTATCAAACGGCACCTTCGGCACGTGGTCAGTGTGTTCACTGCGTTGCGAGTGTTGCTTGCCACGTGGTCCGCAAGTGTTGCGAAGTGGTACCGGTACCATTGCAATCTCATCGGCACGTCATCAGCTAACGATTCGGGCAATGATTCATCGAGCAGCAGAAGCAGCGACGAGGTGTACGCTGCACATTTTGATTTCGGCCTCATTGCCTCCAGCTCAAGCGACGAAGAAAGCGGCGAAGGCAGGGCGAACGTAGATGCCAGCACTATTGCTAACGACAAATGCACTTACCTCTTTCCTTTGACGCTTTTCAAAAGCACCCCGACGCTTAGCTGGAAGGACGGAACAGTGCGAAAACACGGTCGGCACAGCGTCTGGCCGCAGCCTCTGCCTCTTTCACTGGTATACCGAACATGCCGAGAAGACGCTGGTCATCATTTAGCTGTCTGCCAAGTGCGCCTAGCACAAAACAGGTGCGTCACTTGCGCACGTTTATCTCCCAAGAGTTGCGATTGCCGGGCACTTCAGGGAAATTGAAGAATGACGCACTACTCTCCCTGCTCTATATGCTCTGGCACCCCACAGCACAGTATGGGGGATTTGGTGGCATTGCTTCAACCGCTGCTAGTCATTCAGTTCCAGTGACATGTTGAATAACGCTGAAACAATGTGATTGCAAGCTCAGCTGATTATGAAACACGATCGCCCTTCATATTGCACACCATGCAGAAGCTCATAAAGCAAACGGTTCATTATGTCACATCTTGTGAGCGTGCCAGTGTTGCCCGACCACTAGGCTACTCGCTCATTTATAAAAATATTCGATTGTAAATTAACGGCACGACCGAATGTGCTGAAAGTGCTCCAGCTTGTTTGTGAACACACAAGGACCAGCCCACACAGTACAGATTATGGTCGAAAATTGGGTGTCATGACCGCTTTAAGGAGCTTTGCCCCTAAAATATTTTAGAATGAATAAAAATGTGAAAAGTGTGGAATTTATGGTTGCCAGCTGGTAAACATTGCAGTAAAAATGCTATATATGCAAAAATATTCAGAACAAAGAAAATTCAGAATATACATTTTATAGATAAATTATCCTGGAACTGTATAAAAAATAATCAATGTTGTACAAAATGTTTCTCTTCAACGCACAAAATAAATCGGAACAGAGGGGCCGCTTCATTGCTCGTGCCATGTGGGGAAGCATTGCATTGTTTTTCGTGAGATACAACTGTATGCGTGCACTTTTCTCAGTAAAGTTTTATTGTCTTGTGGTAAGAGCATCCAGGTGTGCCAATAAAGATGGATGCTTGTGATGTGAGTAATCCCTCTATAAATGAGATGTCCAATGAACTTCGCTATTTCATCTAGCGTCACCTTTTTCCATGAGCCACCTCACTCCGTATAGCTTGGCATTTCAATATATACATACAAGCACATTTCTTTGCATTTTTGTGCATATCATATTAAAGAAGGATATCGTGCGCACTTATAAAACGTTTCGCCCTGCTTCTAATTCAGGGCCAAGATGTGCTCCGGGGGCCTTCTTATTGTTAGGAGAAGCTCTGCAGCCAGTGCCAGCACACCACGCCCAGCGAACTGTGGGCCACACACGTAACCAGAGCAGCTATAAGATTGTGCTTAAAGATCAGAAGCTATACACACTTACGGCAGCGGAGACTACTTGAGTATGTGAATAAAACAAGCCCACGAACGGCTGCGGATGACTCAGCCTGACGCGAAAAACATTGTCGCCATAAAACTTGAAGCTTAGGTGCTGTCATCCTCTGACTCAAACCTCGTCCTCTCTCAATTCAGGTGGGGTGGCAAGATATTTTTGAGCTGCGCATGTGTTCTGCGGCGCATGTGTTCTGCAGCTCTGCTGCGCACGCATGCGCGCGTGACACATCATAGAAGCGACTAGTGACACAATATGCGACCTCGTGTCTGATTTAAGGATGCAAGCAAAACCAAATCTGCTGAAAACTGTCGGAGAAGGCCACCCTGATACTTTAAACACGCGGCGGACTTTCATAAATATTTTCTGTAGAGCAAATTTTTTCTGACTCCTACGAACAGCTTTTTGAATAGCTGGCATAAATTTCGGGCTATTATTACTGCTAAACATTGTCAAATTGCGAAGCTGACTCTTTAAATCGGTATTTGGCTTGCAAAGGTTCTTTTCATTACAGAACTTCGATGTTACTGTAGCATAATCACGAGGGGCGCGTACTTCTGTCAAGTTCGCAAGCCTAGTGCACTTTGGTTTGCACAAAGGTCTGTCAAAAGTTATTACGTTGCCGAAACATGCAACTTCAAATTGATTATGAAAGTTAAGTGGCTGGACTAACTACTAGAAAGTGCTGTGTGCACGAGAAACAGATTTAACATGCCAAAATCGACGATCCAAAGCGTAGATTACCTGTGCTCGATTTGAATAGGCGTGGTAAGAAAAGAATTAAAGCCGATCTTGCTTCTCCACCGCTGATTGGCCGCCTTGCGCTCTGGCAGTTGGGCAACAGCGCGAAAATAGCTCTCAGACTCTAGAACCACATCTGAGAAGTCGTAGCTTCATTTGGGATATCAGGTGATAAAGAAATGCTCAGAATGCACTCAACTGCTGTACAAAGCCTTCATAGATTACGAGAAAGCATTTGATTCAGTAAAGATCAGCAGTCTTGCAGACACTACAGAATCGGGGTGTCGACGAAGCATATATAAACATCCTGGAAGAAGTATACAGAGGATCAACTCGAACCATAGTGCTCCATAAAGAAAGCGACAGAATACCAATGGAAAAAGTGTAAGACAAGGGGATATGATCTCCCCAAAGCTGTTTACCGCAGGTTTTCAGATGCCTAGAATGGGAAGAGTTAAGGAGAGCAATGGGGAGTACTAAGTAACCTGCGCTTCGCCATTGCCGATGACATTGCATTGCTGAGTAACTCGGGAAATGAACTGCAGTTCATGATTACTGAATTAGACAAGGAGAGCAGAAAGGTAGGTTTTAAAATTAATAGGCAGAAAACGAAAGTAATCTACAACAGCCTCGGAAGAGAACAGCACTACGAGATAGGTAGCAGTGCACTTGAAGTTGTGAAGGAGTATTGTTGAATTCCAATTGTGGTGTCGGAGCAAGTCTTTCCGCTCCTTTTGGGGCAAGTGTGTTCCAATGGCAGAGTGAGGGTGGGAGTCAAGTTTTCCAATGAGAAAGGTGGAGTGGATTTAGAGCAGGAGCGACTCCATGGAGCAGGGAAAGTTGCTCCATCGAAATCGGTGGAGTAGACCGAAACTTGGCGCGCTGTACTCCCGTGACAATGACGGGACGGGGTGTTTGACCGCTGTGTGAATGACCCCTAATACGTTCGCCCACTTGCGGATGCCGCCGCTAAGGCGTGTTTTGGCAGGAACAGTGGACGACATAGCCGAGTGGGGGGCAAATCAATTCGTCGCAGAGTGAGAGCCAACAACCGCGTACAAAGAATGCGACAGTGGAATTAGCGGGATGGAATACTACACACTAGGTATTCTAGGCAACTCAAGGACTTCCGCTTCTACCTTGCTCCCCATACTTGCTCTGGCAGCACAGATTGTTTACCCATCGCGGATTTGAAGGCACTGTTCTACGCCCGAGTCAAGTGCTCGCTCGTAGATTTCGTTGGCTGCTCCTACTCTGCCATTGGAAGCCAACATGTCTACTTAGGACAGGTAGTAATCGTGGAGCGGAATCACAAGATTGAAGCAACTAGAAGAATAAGAATGGGATAGAGCACATTCTGCAAGCATCCTCATATCAGGACTGTTAGATTGCCGCTATCCCTGAAGAGGAAGGTATATAACATTTTGCCAGTACTTGCCTTCAGAGCAGAAACTTGGAGGCTTACAAATAGGATTCAGTTTAAATTGAGGACGATGTAGTGAGTGATAGAAAGGAAAATGATCTATGTAAGCTTAAAGGGGTCATGAAATGAAAATTAACATCCCAGTTGCAATTTTTCCTGCTTCGATAAGAATTAGACATACCGATTCCAAAATACTTCGATGCAATATCCAGTCTGCAAGTAATGATGCCCGTTCGAAATCTCAGTTTTAAAACAGCAATTCTGAAGATTACGGACAGACAAAAATTTCAGACAAAAAAAATGAAAACGGAAAAATATTTTTAAGTGAACAATAGTATGTTATCATGACTTCCGATAACTGTGCGGCTTTTTTTTTATAAATAAATCAACATTTATTTTAGCTGGGGAAATCGACATTTATCAGTAAACTTGAATGCACTAAACCTCAATATAACTTAACCCAGATATAACGAAATATAATAAATAATGAAGTAAAAGAAGAAGAGTCTTGTAAAAAGTATAGTGCTAGGAATGTATCGCAACAAATTTTCGAATGTAACAAGCTTATTTTATAGTAAGGTGCAACTTTGTTATAATGAAGTTCGAATGTACTATTTCTTGGCACACTAGCAAGCATGCGTTTTGGCTCTGTGGCTTTCCCAGAACTGCCGAGCAAAGTTGTTCTTAAGTATAGATGAATAAACCTCAGTTGGCACTTGGGTTATTCATGGCCTGAATATGTGTGTCAAGGTGGATGCCAATGGGTCCCGGTATCTGCTGGGCGACATGGCGGGTCGACTGTTCATGCTGCTGCTGGAGCGGGAGGACAAGATGGACGGCACCACGGCCGTCAAGGATCTCAAGCTGGAGTTTCTGGGAGAGATCACCATTGCAGAGTGCATCACCTACCTCGACAACGGCGTCGTGTATGTTGGATCCCGTCTTGGCGACTCGCAGCTCATCAAGCTCAACTCTGAGCGCAATGACCAGGTCAGTCGTCTGCATCATCCGGCTTGTGTGTACGATTCTAATTCAATTCACTCGCATCTGCAACAACCTGCAGTTTTCTCATGATAAGAGATGGTGCCAATGTTGTGGGCTTGCAAATACCAGTTCCGAAATGTGTTGTAAGGCTATCTGTGTGTGATTGGTGGGTTCTAGCATGAAATTCAGTGGCATCACTTCTCCACCTTGTTTAGTGTTACGACAGGGCAACCTCAATGTGAATCACGCATTGGTAAAAATTACTGGATACAGCGAAGGAAGTCTGCACTCTTTTTTATCAGTATCGGTGCGTATGTTAAGCTATTAGATAAGATCCGTTAACAAGGGGTGTGTGCTGGAGCCGACGTTTCAAAAAGTGGACTCTTCTTTTTCAAGGCTAGAAATGTCGTCTCGACCGCACAACCGCTGTTCATAGATTTCTTTTCCTGGTAAGCTTCCATATTGCCTGTCTTGCCATTTTTATAGATATAAAGATGGTACTATCATATGCACTTTTGTTGTAACAAGGTTAAACTGTACAACTGCAGTTCTGCTTCTGATGTGACTTCAACGTAATGAGGTTGAATAGTAGCAGTGCTAGCTGCAAGTACGGCTGCTAGGTACTTCCCTCACTTTTTTTGGCACATTAAAGAACAGCAATGTCAACTTTCCATCCGTCCTGACCGTAGGGTTCCTTCGTGGAGATCATGGAGGTGTTCACCAACTTGGGTCCCATCGTTGACATGTGCGTGGTGGACTTGGAGCGGCAGGGTCAGGGCCAGCTTGTGACCTGCTCGGGGGCCTTTAAGGAGGGCTCGCTGCGCATCATCCGCAACGGCATTGGCATCCACGAGCATGCCAGCATTGACCTGCCTGGCATCAAGGGCATGTGGCCTCTGAGGGTGGGGCCTGGTGTAGCGCCACACGGTGGGGACGGTAGGGACACTGGGGACATCGCCGAGCGTGACAACACACTGGTGCTCTCCTTCGTGCGCCAGACTAGGTGGGTTGCGCCAAGCCTAGCTTTGTAGTTGAGTGTGGTGTTAGCCAACAAATACTGCCTCCTGAAATGGTAACATTGGAGCTTGTTTGTTTCTGTGCTAGTAAAAAAAAAAGCTCATGAGATGCCTCTGCAATGATTTCTCCTGTTTTCAGTAAGCCATAATGCCAGTTTTATACAGTAAAGGTATATGTTGAAAGCTTTAAGAAGTAACCATAATTCAGGCAACCACAATTCACAAAAACGTCTACCTCCCTTTCTATTTTTGATACAGTTATGGTCATCTTTACTCGAATGATTGTGTTCCTCCTTTCATGGGATAACAGGACATTTAAATTGCTTTCATTGCTTTAGTGTACGACGGTCCAGGTAGGTGCAGCAAAGCTGCGATCGAAGATATTCTCAGCACTGCCACAAACATAGCACGAAGCATACATTTAAGCTGACAGTTATAGAAATATAAAGTGCATAATGTCCATGCAGATTGCTGGTTTTTGTTGGCAAAAAAAAACTGATTTGTGTCACTGCATTTCTCCAGGGTTCTCATGCTCAGTGGTGAAGAAGTAGAAGAGACGGAGCTGGCTGGCTTTGACACATCCCAACAAACCTTCTTCTGTGGCAATGTTCGCAACAAGCAACTTATTCAGGTGTGTCTACCCTTTGCTGACTAATCTGCTTTGAATGATAATGTAATGAAATTCTTATACAATAGAATTCATAGTTTCACGTAATAGACTTCAGTGCAGGCATTGAAAGCATGATATCATTCACCTTTGCCAAAAGTAAATGCAGTGTGTGTGACAGTGCATCGTTGTGGCTGAATTACATGATCTTAATCCTTCTGTTATCCTGTTTAACGCAACTCCTGCAGTTTCCCCGTATTCATCTGAGAAGCTCTCACTCATTTCGTGAGATAGCATAGGCTTTATATATCTTATCTTTCTGACATTCATCATTCATGTGCTATGTGATGCTTATTTCTCATCCACTGCCACGGCTGCGAGGGGCAGTCGCAGGCATGCACTTCCTAGGCTGATCTTTTACACATATGCAAGTAACTGAAAAATGCGTGTTTAATTTGGGGCTCCAAAATAGGTTAAATTGATTAACTGCCACACACATCATGTGGGAGATGTGGTCCTAATTCCGAGTTTCAAGAACTTGTATTCTCCATTTATTCGCTCTCATCTTCTTAAATTATTTCTACATGTCCTTTTGAACATGTAATATTTGCTATCCTTTCTCTGACTTCGCTTTCTGTTGTCCTCATCTCTCAACTGTGGGTTTAAATCTTATTGTTGTATCTCATGGCGGCACCTTTGACGTGTCTGTGTCGGCAGTAGAGTTATTGTGGCAATTGCCACTTGTGCAGGTCACCGCAGCAGCTGTACGTCTGGTTGACAGTCAGACTAAGCAGTTGCTGAACGAGTGGAAGCCACCAGGCGCACGTAACATAAGTGTGGTGACATGCAACCAAAGCCAAGTGGTGTGCGCCGTCCGGAAGGAAGTCTTCTGCTTGGAAATCGGGGATGGCGTCCTGAATCAAATCAGGTAGCTCTCATTGCGGCCTGTTCTTTTTGGATGGGAGCCAGTGTGCTTCTATTACCAGCATTGCTTACACATTTACCGCAATAAGTTGAATGTCCCGTGAAATTTAACGGCAAGCGGATTTTGTTTGTTGAACATCTACTGCGCTGAAATCTGGTGATTTGATTTGATAAATTTGAGGTTAAAATAAATGAATGCATGGCATTCTATTGACGTGAAATTTTAAAACATTTCATCCTAGACTGCATTGACGTTTGTTGTATCTGTATTTAACTGTGTAGAAAAAAGCAGTGTTTCTTCTTGCTTGGGCATCTTTTGCACTGCTGTTCTTTTGTAACTAGACTGTGTAATTTCCTGCTCCACACCCTTTGTGCCCTGTATGTTGGTATTGTTAGGCACGGCAGATCTTCCAATTACTTTGAGAACTGGTTCAGTATCACAGAAAGTGCAAATAGAGAAGGACAGGATTTGTAGAGTGCTTATTCCGTCCTTTTTGTCACAGTAACTCGGAGCTGGAAAATGAGGTTGCCTGCCTGGACATAACTCCCCTTACGGAAGGGGCTGAGAAGTCGACGTTATGTGCTGTGGGCCTCTGGACGGACATCTCCATTCGCATCCTGAGCCTGCCCTCTCTTCAGCAACTTCAGAAAGAGAACATTGGAGGCGGTAAGAGAATCTCTAATGGCTTCTTTGCTTACTGTTCCACTCTGACATAAAGTGTGGATGAGGGCAAATGTTCGTCGAACTATCTGGCTTCATAGCAGTAACGTTGTGCTTCTCGATGCGAATTGACGATGCTGGTTTTAAGAGCTGTTTTCTTTTTGTACAATCTGTGGCTTTGCAGAGATAATCCCAAGGTCTATACTGATCGCAACGTTTGAAGGCATTCATTATCTCCTCTGCGCCCTTGGAGACGGCTCGCTCTTCTACTTCCAGCTTGAAGCCACAACAGGTGCCCTCACAGAGAGGAAAAAGGTAGGATCTTGTTGATGCTAGTGTATATCTGGATAAAATTTTGCTGAAGCTCATGACATTGCCAGAGTATGTATGGAGTTATAAGTTGTCTACAGTTTCAAGTTCATAAAACGGTAACATCGAATCATGATTCGGCAATCATTCACACCACCTTATCACAGCGAATTATGTAGTCCACAAATAATTTTGGCACTAGTAATTTCTAAATGGCACTGCGAATTTCTAGGGTGTGGTATTAGCAATCATTCTCTCTAAAGAATAATTTTCCATTCAACCTGCAGCATAACAAAGCTCATACACCTATATAAGCACCTGTTACACGTTACTCCTGTATGTGCAATATTTTTTTATTTTTGCTTGTTGAGCGAATCTTAGTTTCTTTTGCCATGTATGTTGCATCTGTGTATTTTTGTTGGGAATCAGGTGCACTCATGCTACAGTTTTGCAGCTTTCGGTCTGGAGTCCCTTCCCCCCTTTTGTGCAGGAAAAATAAAGACAAATATTATTACAGTCGAACCTCAATAATTCGAACTCGAAGTGGCACGAAAATTTGTTCGAATTAGAAGAAGTTCAAATTAATGAGAGCTAATAAACGGAGGGCTCTCCATGCCGTGGCACATGTGCATTGAGCTAACACACAAGGGGGAAGTTTCAGAAGACTTGCATTTATTTACAAATCACAGGACATCCGTTATTAATTGAAGTAATCGGTGATGCGCATCTGCACACGTTTGCCTTGCAGCGAGTCAATCAATTTCGCACGCAGCTTTCAAAGCATTTCTACTTTGGCAAGAGAAGTTGCACGCGGAAATATTCAGCGCAGAAACTTTCCAAAGACGACGACAACAACTGCGTAGCGAAGCCTCCCGCTCTCCGCTACGCAGCCGCAGCATGGCCAGCACATGACGAAAAAGGAGGAGCGTTTCCACTCAAAGAGAAGCAGATCGGCATTTAAAAGAAAACCAACACTCCACGGCAGCTTTTTTTTTTTTTAAAGGCAATAGTCTTTCTTGGGGACCTTCCACGCAAATACTTCGATCTGTCTGTCTGTACATTTGTCTGTTTGTCCACCGTTGCCGCGAACTCGGTACTTACTCTATACAGCACCAGCCGACACCCCGATTGGCCGACCCCATCCGCAGTGCCCACCAATGTTGCTTAAGAATCAGCATTCATACGTGTGCGATCGTCAATTAAAAAGCAATTATTGCGCATATCTGAGGCACCATAACAACACATACATATTCTGCATGTTCGTCTTTTACTAGAAAAGGCATACGTAAGTAATTTTAAGGACCGTAGCGCTTATCATGTTGCGCTGACTATGCAACGCTTGCACGGAACAGGGAGTGTTTCCAACGCTTTGCTAAGACAAACGGTGGTGGCACCTACCCGTCGCCTTGCGTTCTACACCTTATCACCTCTGAGACGGGCGTGCACACCCGTCTCGGGGTTACATGCTTTGTTTTCCAAAAAGAACTCCAGATGGCGCTCATGTCTCACGTGTGACGTGACTTGATGCGCTCGTTCGCCTCCGCTGCACGCTCGAGGCACTCTAGCGCAGCGCCTACGGAATACCATTCACCGATTTTCTTGCGCAGAACATCAAATAAATGTTTTGTTCAGTCTCTCCACACGCAAGACTATCATTTTTCGACGACATTTGCAGATTACATGCAGATACAGAGCCAATTTTTTTTTTTGCTCTCTTCGCGCGCTTTATTGAAAGGAGAAGGGTTACGTGGCAGGGACAGGAAAGGGTGAAGCGTGGCACCGGTGTGTGAGAACCCCCCCCCCCTCCTAAAGGTGCAGAGCCGTGCTCCCACAAGGGGCAAGGGCTGCAGAAGATGGTGCCTTTTTCCTTTCCTTCAACCATACAATTGTGAAACCCAGCGACAGCTTTCTTTTTTTCCTCTCTTCGCGTGCGCGGGTTGTAAGGAAGGGTTTTTACGTGGCAGGGACGGAAAAGGGAAAAACGTGACCCGGGTGTGGTGTCGCAGATCGGCATTTGAGATAGAGCAAACATTCCACCACAGCCTTTTCTTTCCTTTTCATTTCCTTCGCATGCAGCGTTGAGGTGTTGCACTGTTGCAGGTACCGCCGCGCGATTGGGCGAAGGGCTGAGAGCATTTTCGGAGCGCAGTATGTTCGAATTAACCGTCCGAAGTGCTTGGTCGTTCGAATTACCGGGCGTTTTCCCCCATTGGAATACACATAGCTTTGACAGGACCTCATCGTGAGTTCGAATGAACCCGAAGTTCAAATTAAGCGTGTTTGAATTAATGAGATTCGACTGTATTATTATACAAAGTCTGGACCTAATTGCATAGTCTCTACATGGAAGTTTGCATTATCTATGGTGCTAAGGGGTCACAGCCGTTGACTGGATTAACTATCAACTGCACATTACATTAAAAGTTGTGCTTATCTTGTTTCACTGTTCAGTGGACTTATCATGAATTGCCTCAGGCAGCCAGGAATGGAAAACACCTATCAAGACAGTACGTGGATGTTGTTGACCTGACAACCTGTCTTGCTAGAATACTTCTAGTATACTCTTGGTCTTTGTCTCATTTCGCAAAAGCCCACTAGTAATGCACACCATGAGCAGTGTTAAGCTTATGACTTGTTTGCCACTCTATTACGTAGTGCTGTCATTGTTGTGTAAGGGTATAGTGCAAGTTGTCCTTGTTTACGATTGGGCTGTTGGCATGTGCAGGTCACCTTAGGCACACAGCCAACAGTGCTGAAGACATTCAAGTCACTCTCAACGAGCAACGTGTTTGCCTGCTCTGACAGGCCTACAGTAATCTATTCGAGCAATCACAAGCTAGTGTTTTCCAATGTGAATCTCAGGGAGGTCAACCACATGTGCCCTCTGAACTCTGAAGGTTACCCAGACAGGTAACTGCTTCTTGCTGGCTTTGATGATCGGCTTTGTTCTTATTATTTCATTCTTTTGCCAAACAGCTGGGCCTTCTATGTATGTGTGGCTGGAAGGTCTATCATACAGTTAAAAAGTCTTTATCAAAATAGGTTCACTGAGGAGCCTTTTTCGTTCCTAACATGAGGAGTCTCATATAAGCAGGGTACTATGTTCTTATTTTCTGATCAACCCCTATGTTTAGAGAGGCTCAGTGGTGACTGTTATACCCATTCGTCTCTTACATCGTCTTTTAAAGTGGCCCTGCGACACTTTTTGCGCATGGCCAGAAAACGCTGCCGATGGATCGTCAAGGCTCCCCTAGAAAACACGAGCCAAATATTATAGCATGAGAGCGGCCAGTAATTCACAATAAGTTCTCACTCAGCTAGAAATTGCTTTCTCTTCTCTCGACAAGTGACGATATAAGCTCAAAAAGCACTCGTCACAACCATTCTATCAACCATGGGTATGATTTAAGCATGGTGCGCTTGATTGTTACTCCGGCTGCCACGGGAAACTGGGACTTCTCCATGTGCCTGGGTGATCGCACCGAAAAGCCGCATATTCGAATAAAAAAAAAAGCGAGAGAAAAGTGCTCAAGGTTACAAGGCAAGCGTGACATATTTGTTTTCTCGTGCCGTTCCTTCCTGCTTACCTTCCAGTGCTTTCGTCGGGACGAGAGAAGAAAGAATGCAATTGCAGTGTGCAACAAAACTCCGCTCGTACTGCACGGATTCTAAAATTTTTGCAGCAGTGAATTTTTGAGGAGATAAGCTCCTTTTGTGAATCTATTCCATGCCTACTTGAAAAAGTGTTGCAGGGCCTCTTTAATGGGGCTTGACTATATATAGCAATCGTGTTGAAGAGTTTCATTTTTTTCTTGTGGAGCTTATTTGACTATTGTGAAATGTAAATAGTATGCATATTGCTCATATAATGATTTGGCACTAATTAGTGGCAATGATATGTTTAATATGCCCATATGATTAAGTAGGAATTTCATTTTATGTGTGTTGATAATGGGCTTCTGTGATATTTGGTGCAGATTGTTTTTACTTGATTGTTTAAATGAGTGTGTGTGAATGTAGATTTAATTAACTGTTTGTTGTCAATTAAAGCAAATGTACATTGCTTATTCAGTTAAATTTTGTCATTGGCAACGTAAGCGACTCGAGCGTTCAGTGTGCAACTCGGGTTTTCTTTTTGTAGGAGCAGTGACTGACAGGATGCTAAACAGATTCTACTAACCAAGCCAGTTACATCATTGCAGCTGGCAGTTAGCATACTTGTCGTGAGGAATGTCTAATAGTTGTCGCTGGCATTCAGGGATCTGTGGTACTTTTTGCTGGAAATGGATGATATAAGTTATTAAATACATTTGACACTGATCATTCCAGATCTACTGCATCTCAAACAAGATGTGTCATAGCTGGCACACGCAAATGCTACTTTTTTTGTTAGATTATTGGAGAATGCGTCTGTCTGGCCATCTGTCAAATATCTTCAGGAGCACTTAGTGATAAACACATGCACCATGGATCCTTTATAGGGTTCCGATCTGGTACAGCTGAGCTTTTGATCTGTAGGACTTTGTCTTATACAGCGATTCCCATTACCTGGTTCATGTTCGGTACGTCATTCACCACTTATTACTGCAGTAAATCACTTTCCACTGGTTGAAAGGCGCAGATTCTTCCTCCTCATAGTGTTGTGCAAAGTGCTGTTTACTCTTTGCTGTGACCATCATAGCTTTGTTTCATTTTCTTGACCCATCGCTGCTGCTTGCATCCACAGCCTCGCCCTCGCCAATGACAACACCCTGCTCATTGGTACCATTGATGAGATTCAGAAGCTTCACATTCGAACTGTGCCTCTTGGGGAGCTGCCGAGGCAAGTCGTGCTCTTATTTTTTACATTTTTATACTTTTGTAGGTAAGAAAAATATTGCACGCTTCAGCATTAAACATAGAGCTAATATCCTCTTTGTTTTGAAGTTCTGGCATTGCAGCAAATATTCGACTCTATTTCACTATAGCATTAAGTATTGACAGCAATAGCAAAGTTTAGTTTTCACACTTACTTTAAGCAGCATCAATGTGTTGGCACTACATGTCACTCGAGGTAGCATCTGCTGCCTAAAAGTTTAGCATGCTGGAGTATATCAGTGGAGACAAGACCTGCGAGAATCCTTTAGGCTTATGCTAGCAGTCAACGAAAGTGTTTGATAAATTCGGCATTTAGTGCCTATCAAGCATTCTGGTAGCAATTCGCACTGTCCGCAGCCTATTATAGGTGGCACGCAAAATGAACCAACATGGCGGTCCTGAGGATGATAGCGAGCGAGTAGGAGAGCATGGAAGCGTCCTGTAGAACCTTTTTTGACACATCTAATGACACTAGGCTGCTTTCATTACGGGGCATCGCATTCTATGTTGAAATAGATTATAATTGCAGACAATGTCACGGGAAAATATTTTTAAAAACAACCATTCACTCGGTGGCCAAGACCAAGAAACAGCTTCAGCACAATTCGGGAGCATTAAGTGCCTCTTCATTCTCCGCTGCAATGGCCTGGTTCTGTCTGCAGATGTTGTGTTGGTTTTGCATGAATAAATGTTGCTGTGGTACAAACAATCTGAAGCTGCATTGCCATTCTCTACTAATTAAACAGCGGCTGTATTTCATGCAGCTCGTGTTCTTGATGTTTTGAAAGACGTCGTGGACAGTTCAGAAAAAGAAAAGGGGTAGAGGCGCACCATCTAGAGGCACACGACGCTTTTCGCTGGTGTCCGCGGTTTCGTGAGCAAGTTTTTTGCTGTTTTGTTAGGAAAGATACATAATTATTAGCTGAAGGGTGGGGCGGGTGGCTGACATTGGGAAGCGCTCAGGAGATACTAATATATGTTATCTTAAGTATAATACCATAATTATTCTAATCTAGGCCGAGATAGATTTTTTTCTTCAAATTTTTTTGCATTAATCTCCAAGGTCTGCTTAGAATCGAGTACAGTCGAGCCCGTTTCTAACGAACCTGAGCGGGACGCGGCGTCCATTCGCTGTATCCCGAAGTTCGTAGTAAATGAAACACAGCTTTTAAAAAAAGTTGCGCGTGAAAACGCAAACTCTTTATGCCCCCAAAAGTCCGTGATGCACATGCTTCGAATAGCAGAAGCGATAAGGCAGTCTCAAGTTCATTTAAAACGGCAGCTCGCTCGTTCGCCGAGGCCCGTGGCATAAGCTGCATGAGGCACTGACTCCAAAGTTTCGTCGTTCTCGCGATCAGATTCCTCCAAATCGCTCTCGCCACGTACTTCACTCACAATGCCCTAATCCGTGCACGGTTCCGCAGTGTCGGCATCATCATCGGCCGTAATTAAACCATCGCAACAGATGTCCCACCCGCTCTCCCAGGTCGGAGTCGACGACGTGCTGCCACAAATCGCCGCTGCGCTGCCACAATCGCCGCTGCAGTGGTCCTATTCGGTAGCTTCAGGCTCGGCATCGGGCCTGACGTCGACGAAGTCGGCCTCGCGAAAACAGTTTCGCGTGCATGTAGCCGTCACCGCTGCCCACGAAATATTCACCATCTCCACAGCTGCATACCGGGACGCCCGAAGCGGCAAGTTGGCTGCCAGGTGGTCAACAGCTATGAGCAAGCGCTCCAGCAATGCGGCACTCACGCGTGGATTACGCTCAAGCCAAGCGGTCACACTTTCGACGTTTTGTTGAGCGGCAGGAAAAAGTGTGCTAGTCCTCCCGTCGGCCATCATGACCACACACGCACACCAAGAGCGAGCAAGACGCGCACAAGCGACACACATGCCAGAACGCGTGGAACAGCTCTGGGCCCGTTTCCAGTCAGGAAAACGAAACTATATTCGAGCCAGCGTGGCGGGCGTCGTGGAGCGGAGGAGACGGGCGAAGGGGTTGTGATCAAGAGAGGAGAGCAGACTTGCGAGAGAAGGCAATAAGTTGCGATAAAGAGAGGGGAGGATGCCGCACGAGGGCGACCTTTGAAAACCAAAACGCACGGGAAGGAGGCAGGTTGGGTAGCTTGCTTGAAAAATCCGCGAAACTCGCACGTAAAAAACTTGAAAAAGAGTGCCAGCGCGCGTAGAAGCCAAAGCATGGCCGCCTGGATTGGTGCGCACGGCAGTGTTCGAAGAATCGGCGGCAGTGGTCAAAAATCGTTTTGTTGTGCCGGCGGGTTTGCGTAGCCTCACGAACTTCGATATTTCGCGATTCATTCCGCGCAAATTAACAGTTGTTTCCCCGCTTATGCACGCACGCGGAAGGCATGCTGAGTCGAGTGCGAAGTAAGCAAGAACAAGTCCTAAACGCGAAATGAATCGCAAATTATCAGAGTCCGTGGGGTAGCGTAAGCGCTTGCACTAGACGCAGGCTATCGGATACAGTCGGTGGCCGACGATGTTGGCAAATGGTCTGGTCACTCCAGGCCGGCGAAGTCTACAGTACCAGCTATCAAAAAACGGGGTAGATGGCCGACCGGTCTTCGAAAGATTGGTGGCAGTGTGAAAACACTGGCCTCGTCTGGCGATGCAGTGTGCTCAAAGTAGCGGGGGGGCAAAGGACGGAGGGGTGCGTAACAAAAAGTGGTCGGGGAGAGCGGCAACTAGAGGGGCGCGGAGGCAGGGTCGGCGTTTAACAATAAGAATGTATGGGCACCTCGCCGATGCCTGATCAATGGTCGAAATTGGTTTCCCGGGAAGTCGGCAGACCGCTGACTCCGTTCACTGTAACCGATCAGTGGCGCTCGGAGGCGTTCATTGTAAGTGCGATTTTGTGCCATTCAACCAATGTATATTTTCACGGTCATCGTATATTGTTCGTTTTAAGCGAAAGTTTGTTTTAAGTGGGGCCGTTATATGTGGGCTCGTCTGTGTATTAAAAAATGCACCATTTTTTATTCAGAAAAGTGGTGCACAACTAGTGTCACCTAGACGGTACAATAGCCGTTAATAGCCAAGCCAATACCAGGCTTAAGTACACACGTGAGGCCGCCATTTTGATCTCTGTGGCGAGTATTGAAGCGAGCCATTGGTCATTTCGAGTTGCGCTTTGACTGGTCTGTGTGTGGCATAGCTCACTGGCGCCATACAGGCGGTGTCATTACAGTGCTGCTTATAAAAGGAAAGTTGTCCTAGCCGCGGAGTCGTCGGTCTAAGTTACAGCCGGGATGGACTTTGGAGTGGACGAAAAAAATCCGCATAGCTGGAGGGTGTGCAGTGTGGGACATCCCAGGAATTATGTGCACTCTTTTATGGAGTGCGGCATATCTAATGTGCTTTATGGCATCGAGGATACCGCTCCGTTTGAAGACAGCAATAAAGAAATGAGCAGCGAGGGAAGCAGCGACGACGTCTCGGAACGAGCGTGGCATCGGCAAGTGCACAGGCGAAAGAAATGACAACAATGAAACCCACACAACAGGACTAGCGCTTGTATGTTTCTCGAGTTATTTGCATGGTGAACCTATGCATTGTTTCATTTTGATGTTCAATAAATGTTTTTGCTTTGTGAATGCTCTTTTGTTCCATCTACATTCTAAGCAAGTTTCAACCCACAAGTTCTCGCGCCTTTCCTTCTTAGGATCACACATAATGAACCGTCTTGAAGCGGTGCAAGCTTGCATACAGATTACTTCACATCCGATCATCGTGCATTTTGCAGAGAATCTAGTTTGTGCGCCGGAACATGACACCCGTGTGTTAGACATTGCCACTCTGGCGAGAAAAAGCCTAACAAAAGCATTCTGCCTGCATGGCAAATGTTGGCAGGGCCCACAATAGCCACATAAAAGCGCTGCGTCGTCATTTGATCATTCTTAAGGTGTTCTCTCTATCTGCTAGGCGGCGTGACCGTCTACGCACAGTGCGAATACCAACAGCACGATTACACCTCGCGAGCCCATACGATTGCTATCGTAATAATGTCTTGCCTAACCACATTTGATGGTTGGGTAATATTGTAAGGACTATACTCTGTAGAGCTGCCCTTGCGTTTTCAAAGAATGTTTATAGATTCTTTCTTTGCTGTTTTGAGAAAAAGACTTACAGGGCATTCTCTTTTGTATAGTGTAGCTGTCACTATGGGCATGGTAATTAACATGGCTGTGGAAAGTTAGACATGTGAACAGGCATTTTGCTTCTCGCTAGCCATCTCGGAAGTTACGGGTATCCAGTGAGTATTGTTCCTGTCAGTAAGCATTGATTAGGTACGATCATTCCTTGGAAAATAAACAAGTTTAAAATGTGGGAAATGCTTCCTCAAATACGCACCGGGTGCAAAAGAATCCCTCAATAGTGCTGTATTCTTCGCTATGCCACTATCGGAAGCAGTGGTTGGGTTTCACATGCCTATCCTGTTTTCAACCATGGGAAGGGGCCACCATTGGGGTATTATCCATATGCACTTTCCACTTAGAGCTGGGAAGATGATCTAGAACGGTCATGGTAGCTTCTGTGTCCTTAGGGCTACAGTGTATAAAATTTTCATTTCTTGATTAGGTAGCAGGGACCTTATTATTTTATGTCAACTCGCTCACCCATTCTTTCTGTATGTGCTGTCAGAGATAATCCTTCAAACTCTTTTCGATAACCCAATTTATACTTTCGTGCACAGGAGGATTGCCTACCAGGAAGCAACGCAAACGTTTGGGGTTATCACCATCCGCAATGACATCTTGGGCAGTAACGGCCTGACACCAGTGAGGCCCAGTGCGAGCACACAAGCCCAGAACGTTACCTACAGGTCTGTTGCTATACTAAACCTATTAGTAACATAGCTGTAAAATTCGAAGGAAATTGCATCGCACATGTTAGGGAACAAAAGTTTCTTGGTGTATGGTTTCAGGAGGAATTAAACTGGAATACACATGTAAATCATCTGATCACCGCATTAGCGCGAATAGTTGGTTGTTTTTTTTAGAACAATGCACTTAATCCCATTGAGGTTAAAAATAAGTATGTACTATGCACTCTTCCATTCTAAAGTAAGTTATGGGATGTTAGTCTGGGGAACGACATCACAAGGGAATTACCATAAGTTAATAACTATACAAAAGAAAATAATGCGCTGCTTTGAAAATTACAGGGGGAATCTACAAGACTTGCGCACTGCTCCACTATTCATACTCAGAATTGATCAATTATATCATTTTAAATTACTTCAGTTAATACAAAAGACTAAGCTATATGAAGAAAGTTGCACCGAAAGACCACCCTACAGTCTGCGAGAACAAAAGAAACGAGCTCCTAGAACAAGAACCAAGTATGGAAAACAAAGTATTGCTTACCAGGTACCTCAGGTTTTAAATACCCTTGCAGATCAATTGAACTTTAGGGCTAGTAGTGCGACTTTCAAGAAACAAATAAAGAACTTATTCATAACCACCGGTCTACACTATCGAAACTACGTAATGGAGTCTCATGCATCTGCAAATGCTTAAATTGTTCGTAAACTTCTATGTCAATTATACGAGTGTATACAGCGGAATTCATTGTATCCGCATGCATTTTGTGTCTGTTTTTGAGTTGTTTCATTGATATTGTTTAGATGTGAATTATAACGAGAGTGACCTCTAATTCTTAAAATGTGTTATGTAAACTTCTTATGCTACTTATGTTTGAATTTTGTGTTTACAATTTCAGGTTGCTTGAAACCAATGTATTGAATATATATATTGTTTAAGCTTTGCACTGTCACGGACTGCGGAGGGACAAGGGCCTTTGTCAGGCTGTTCGCCTTTTAGCCCTTTGCCCCTGCAGTGAGCTCTGTATCCGGCTTACTGTAAATAAAAAATACTACTACTACTACTACTACTTTCTCTTTGCAAGGTCTTACAGTGGTGTTGGCGAAAGACTTTTAAATTTTGCCCCGCCGCAGTAATCTAGTGGCTAAGGTACTCATCTGCTAACCCGCAGGTCGTGGGATCGAATCTCTGCTGTGGCGGCTGCATTTTCGATGGAGGCGGAAATGTTGTAGGCCCGTGTGCTCAGATTTGTGTGCACGTTAAAGAACCCCAGGTAGTCAAAAATTTCCGGAGCCCTCCACTACAGCGTCCCTCATAACCATATGGTGGTTTTGGGACGTTAAACCCCACATATCAATCAATTGATCAGACTTTAAAATTTTTCAATTCAGTGCTTTTTTGTTTGATGTTATGTTAGCTGTTGTGTGTGTGTGTTGTGCGGGATGAGTTGGTCATGTACATTATTGAGTCTGGAAATACAACTTTTACAGGGATTTGAAAATACAAGGACAAGCACCTCATATTTCAAGTAATATGAATCAAAAGCTTGCCCAATCAGTTATTGGTTGCGGCTTCTGATTACTGTTTTCTTTTACACTCCTTGCTTACTAAGAATGAATAGTGATTGTGTGCCACCTCGTGTGCTATTGCAGTTCCCACATGAGCACAGTCTTCAAGCCAGGATCAGTGAGTACCGGCAATGACCAGCTTGGCCAAGAAGTTGAAGTTCACAATCTTCTTATCATTGACCAGCACACGTTCGAAGGTATGTCCCTTGAGTGGTCTCTCCTCAGTTGACTTGCTCTGATAATTCATACTCTGATAATTCATACTTTTGGTTAATTCAAACAAAATTCAATTTTTTGGTGGGCCCTCTATTCTTACAATGTATTTAAACGCTCTTAATTCATACTCCATCATTCAGTTAATTCATGCATTTTGCACTTCTGTACCAGGAAATATCTGCTGCTTTCCCACTACTATTTAAAATTTTGCGTGTTATATAATCCTAACAGCCTAAAAATGAAAAATAAGCACCTCGGGCTTTGAAAGGAAAAGGCTTAGGCTAGTAAACGAATGTTCGAAGCGAAGCACATGCATTATGCTTCTGACACCGTGATGCTTCTCAACTGGTCAACCGATATGAACAGCTTTGTGCTGAAGGCACATATAGCAAAGAAGCAGTTGGTAATTCACGACTTCTTTAAAAGGTCTGATCAGCAATAAAGTGCCAGTAAACTTGTGGACCCTACACCTCTGCTTTCTGTTAATTGCATGCAGTTAGGTGTTACAATTGCTTAAAAAATTGTGAAATCTAATAAAATTAGTGCCTTATCATACACTAGTGTGATGTCACCTCACCCACAGTCTGAGAACTTCATGATAATTCAAACGAAATTCAGGGGTCCCTTTGAGTTTGAAATGAGTCTACTGCAATTTGCCCGTCATGCTAGCTTGGCATGGCACTATATCAATACATTAAAGGGCCAAGCTGTCATAATTTATTTTGACCCATTACGGTAGCTTGGCATCTATGGCTCTGTGCTGCTGACCTAGAAAGGTCGCTTCTCAGCCATGGCAGCTGCATTTCGATAGTGTGCAAACAGCATAATCGTTTATGCACTCAATCTTAGGTGCAAGTTAACAAGCCTTACGGTGGTGCAAAGTAATACAGGGCTGCCCACTACATTGCGCCTACAGTTGTATCGGTGTTTTGTCATGTCATACCAGGGAATTTTACCCTAGCAGAAAACTTTTAAATTGCATTGCTTGATGGAAGTGAGGTCCGAGACATATCAGTTGAATTATTATCGATGCTAAATAAATATCTAGTACCCTTGTCATATGGCAAATTTCATGGCATTTACGATTAAACCTGCTTATACGAACCTTTATATAACCAATTCCTTGATATACCGTAATTACTCGAATCTAACACGCACCTTTTTTCCGGTTAAGCGAGTTCATAAATCGCATGCGCATTAAAATCGGGTGCGAAAAAAAATGAATACTGTCATGCTATTGCCATCGGCATTTCCAAAATGGCCGCCTCCTACGTGCTTCGGCATGGCGCGTCGGCCATTTCTGCCCATGTGTTTCCCATGTGCGGCACTTTGTACGTGTGCTGAGGAGTTCATCTTGTAGTTCATTAGCATCGACGGCATGGAAGGGCCGACTCCAGAAACTCGACGAGTGCACCTAGATGCCGCTTTTAAAAGAAAAGTCATCGCATGTGCCGAAACAGACGGAAATCGGGCCGCATCGCGGTCGTTCGGAGTTCCCGAAACGTGCGCGTGGGACTGGCGGAAACAAAAGCAGAAGATTGTCAAAGATTCATGCAAAGGCTTCAGTGGACCACAGCAGCGTCGGTTTCCGCAAATTGAAGAGCTGCTCGCCGAGTATGTGCTTGAGCGGCGAGCGGCACAGCGGCCCGTGACGACAGAACTGCTCTAAGTGCGGGCTATGCAGTTAGCTTTAGAAAAAGGGCTAACGCGGAGCCAGTTCAAAGCAAGCAGGTGCTGGCTAACTAACTTTATGAAGAGGAAAGGCTTTTCCCTCCGAAAGCGAACGGGCATGCGCCAAAACTTGCCGGAGGAGTACAAAGAAAAGCTTCACAGTTTTCAGAGGTTCGTCCTAAACTTGCAGCACAACAACGGCTACCTGCTTGGGCAAATCGGGAATGCCGATCAGACGCCTCTTTACTTCGAGATGCCTGGCACCACAACCGTCGAGAAGAAGGGGGCGAAGCACGTTCGCATGCTGACATCGGGCCATGGTAAAACAAGTGACGGCAATGCTCCGTTGCACGTCAGATAGGCACAAGCTTCCCCCGTACCTCATATTTAAACGGAAGACGCTCCTGAAAGGAGTCGTTTTCCCGAGTAGTGTGATCGTGCGGGCCAACGAGAAAAATGGATGCGCGTTGCAATCGATGTCTTACTCTTTTTTTTTTCGTCGTGAAAACCGAGTGCGCGTTACTATCGAGGGCGCGGTAGAATCGAGTAAATACGGTAACTAAGATTTTCTTTTCCCTGTCGTTGCTCTATATAAGTGCATGTATTAGCGACCTCTATGTAACAAAGTAACAGCAGGAGACAGCCTTGATATAATGAATTTTCCCCATGGACAATCTAGGAATTTTGCCCTGGGTTTTATCATTTTGTCATGAGCATGCATCTTCCGTGGGTGGCCCGCCATTGACGAAGCGCGAGGCGGACAGGTGGGCCTGCGCCCCACGAGCCAGTGTTGCCATTGTTCTTGTCGCCGTGGGCACATGTGATAATGTGCCCTCCTTCTCCAAACCAAAAAACAAACAAAAACTACTTTTGCGTTGGCAGTGCCACGTTTTTAATTAGCGTCGCATATGTGGGGCCGCGCTGGATATGGAGGGAGGGCACTTCACCGAATAGTTTCCCACAGTATCCGTGTTGTTCGCTCTTCGCCTTTGACGCCGTGTGTGCATGCATGGCTTCACTGTGCGTGCATGGTGTTGTGCCCAATAACGGTCAACTTTGCTTTTTTTTAATCCCCTCGCCTGCCTTTTTTTTTTAATCTGCCCCACGCGGGGAAAACTGCCGGACTTTAAATAAGGTTTATTCATTCATTCAATGTGAACAACCGTGTCGTGACCACCTAGGGGATGTCAGATTAGGTGCTGATTTAAACCCTCAGAGACCAAGGTGACAACGGATCTTCGGAGGTCGACTCGCCATGCGCTTCCATCTTGCGCGAGTGCGCAGGCCCGTAGTTTTGGCGATTAGCCGATAAGTTCTGGCAACTGCAGGACGGCGGGTTGAATGTTATGCAATGAACACGATAGCAATAAAGTGTAATGTTATAAGAAGTAAGGCTGGCAGCCAACTCTTTTGGACCAGATAACGCGGAACTGCTACAAAACACTGGAGCGAGCTAATGTGCCTGCTCTAGGGAGAAGTGCTCTTTTCACACAATCTCTTCGCATTTAAAGTGCACAGCTGATACTTGCCGAGATAGCACGCGTGCCAGACCGCCCTTAAAATCGTACATTGTTGCTTCTCGAGCGATCCCCTCCTTCCCGTGTTTTTTCATGCTCGTTCAAGACTGGTGGTTTCCTTTCTCTTTGAGCATTCGACGGCAGTTCTACCACATTGAGGATAATATCTGCCTTCCAGGCGATAGAGATGAACCGGCTCATTTGATTTGAGCTTCAGCAATGCTCACGTGCTTTTACCCGTTCCTAAATGTTACGATACGCGGGGGCATGTTATCAATTTAGACTTGTTACGGTACATGGCAGTGACAGCAAAAATCCGCCGAGTGTGTCCATACAATTGCTATTGCAATGATGCAGTTATTTACTGCTACATAAGTGTTTTAAGTTAGCTATGCCTTCAGTCCCCCGTTTGTTTGATTTGTGCATTTATTTTCTCAAGTTTCGTACCGAGCACCTCCATATTTCGAAATCCTCTTTATAACGAATTTTTCCAGGAATTTATCAATTTCGTTATATCCAGGTTTTAACTGTACATCGAATTACAGTCTGCTGTAGTGTCATACATTTGCTATCACAAGTGGAAACTAATGCCATTCGATGAACACGACGTTTTCTCTCGTTTGAATTCACATTCGATCTTGGACCAAATGTGTAGTCTCGATGCCAGAGACCTTTCAAGGAGATGGCAATCGACTCATGTGTGTCTTAACTTCTGTCATTTGTAAATAACTTATTTTTTACTATACCGTATTTACTCGATTCTACCGCGCCCTCGATTGTAACGCGCACCCGATTTCCACAGCGAAAAAAAAAAAAACGTAAGACATCGATTGCAACGCGCAACCATTTTTTCTCGCTGGCCTGCATGATCACACCACTCGAAAAAAGACTCCTTTCGGGAGCGTCTTCCATTTAAATATGAGGTACGGGCGAAGCTTGTGCCCCTCTGACGTGTAACAGAGCATTGCCGTCACTGTAGTTTTACCGTGGACCGATGTCAGCACGCGAACTTGCTTCGCCCCCTTCTTCTCGACGGTTGTGGTGCCAGGCATGTCGAAGTAAAGAGGCGTCTGATCGGCATTCCCGATTTGACCAAGCAGGTAGTCGTTGTTGCGCCGCAAGTTTAGGACGAACCTCTGAAAACTGTGAAGCTTTTCATCGTACTCCTCCGCAAAACTTTTCGCATATGCATGTTCCCCTTCGGAGGGAAAAGCCTTTCCTCTTCATAAAGTTAGTTAGCCAGCACCTGCTCGCTTTAAACTGGCTCCGCATTAGACCTTTTTCTAAGACTAATTGCATAGCCCGCACTTGAGCAGTTCTGCCGTCACGGGCCGCTGTGCTGCTCGCTGCTAAAGCACATACTCGCCGAGCAGCTCTTTAATTTGCGGAAACCGACCCTGCTGTGGTCCACTGAAGCCTTTGCGTAAAGCTTTGCTGTCGAAAATCTTCTGCTTTTGTTTCCGCCGGTCCCGCACCCACTTGTCGGGAACTCCGAATGACCGCGATGCGGCCCGATTGCCGTCCGTTTCTGCACACGCGATGACTTTTCTTTTATAAGCGGCATCGTGGTGCACTCGAGTTTTTGGAGTCGGCCATTCCACGCTGTCGATGCTAATGCACTACTAGATGACGAACTCCTCAGCACACGTACGAAGTGCCGCACATGAGAAACACATAGGCAGAAATGGACGACGCGCCATCCCGACGCACGTAGGGGGCGGCCATTTTAGATTTGCCGATGGCAATAGATTGGCCGTAATTTTTTTGTTCGTACTCGATTCTAACGCGCATGCGATTCATGAACTCGCTTAACCGGAAAAAAAAAAAAAAAAAAAAAAAAAAAAAAAAAATGCCCCGCCGCGGTGGTCTAGTGGCTAAGGTACTCGGCTGCTGACCCGCAGGTCGCGGGTTCAAATCCCGGCTGCGGCGGCTGCATTTCCGATGGAGGCGGAAATGTCGAGGCCCGTGTGCTCAGATTTGGGTGCACGTTAAAGAACCCCAGGTGGTCAAAATTTCCGGAGCCCTCCACTACGGCGTCTCTCATAATCATATGGTGGTTTTGGGACGTTAAACCCCACAAATCAATCAATCAATTAACCGGAAAAAAGGTGCGCGTTAGATTCGAGTAATTACGGTATATTAACCAGTTGATGGTTTATTGACGTGAAAGGACTCGCAAATGTTTCTAAAAGAAAGCTGCTCTTCACTAAAGATTATGGATGCCAGCCATGTTTGATGTGTGCTGTTTTCGCTGTTACCTTGGTCGTGGGTGTTGATTGCACGTGTTTCAGTGATCATTGTGGGGAATACAAGAATTAAGGGCCGCCATATTATTTCTGCGGCTGGAGTGCCAGTTGTGTCCCACGCTTAGTCATATTTAACGTTGGTCATATCATCGGTCATGGTAGTTTTCGATTTTCTCTTGGCTTGTCTTTGTTTCATCATGGATGTGTGGTGAATTGCATAAATTGCATAAAACAGCTGCACTTGCATTCCTGAAACTCCTTGTATGTGATGAAAATATTTTTAAGTATACATTCGTGTACATTCAAGTTGTCTATAGATTTTTAGTACTCCCGAAGTCTCAGCTCGTGAGGGCTGTGGTCTCTGGGGTCATTTTAAAGTTATATATATTTTTGTCGTGAGACAACAGGCAGGTAAAATAACAAGTTCACTTGATGTCATTCATAAATGATATTAGATTGGCTGTCTGACAGGGGTATAAGTCATGAGCCAACAAGGCATAAAGGCCGTTAAGTTCAGTTCATATGTGTTGCTCAGGGCAAGAACAAAAGTTGCTAGTAAGCTTTTAAAATTAACCAATCATTGGTGTACTATACACGACAAATGGAGCATCTAATGCTACATACAGCTTGTAACTAGAAAAAAAGTAGTGTTTGACTATCAATGTGTTCAAGTAACAGTGCTTTCTTGCAGTGTTACATGCCCACCAGTTCATGCAGACAGAGTATGCGATGAGCATCGTGTCAACTCGGCTAGGGAATGACCCCAACACCTACTACATTGTTGGAACGGCAAATGTGCTTCCCGACGAGTCGGACCCCAAGCAGGGTCGCATAGTAGTCTTCCACTGGGTGGATGGTAAGTCATGATCATTTGCATTATGGCTGTGCTGATGGTCTTCTCTGTGCACATGCATGCCTACTTTCTTCCTCATTGGTTCACACACCTGGGATCTTGATCTATTTCCCTTGTTATTCTTTGCTAAATAATGCCATATGAATTGAGAACATTGAACTACATGAGCCATCATAAAACTTCAAGTGCATGAAAAGTTTTGGCTGTCACACAACTGTGTAATAGGTAATGAAAGTTATAGCATATGGTGATGATACCAAGGAGCATTTCAGAGCCATGACAGGGAACATGGTGACAGAGCAGGTGACCCATTTATCTTTGCCAATGTGTATTGTGTGCATTCGTACAACGCTTTGCTACTGAACGAAAACAGGTGCCACTTTCCTGACATGCTGTACCAGTTTCAGCATGTCGTTGATTGTCGTGAGAAATTAGTGTGCAGTGCACTGCCTATGTACAAATGTGCACATTTGCTGTGCTTTTGTTTGTGCAACTACGTCGCCTCATCCTCGTGGCACTGCCTATTGGGTGGAGGTGCAGTACGTATTTTGTTGGACCAGCACGGTGACTGTGATGATGCTTCTGCCCAGGCAAGCTTGAACACGTAGCGGAGCAGGAGATCAAAGGGGCACCTTACTCCATGCTGGAGTTCAACGGCAAGCTTCTGGCTGCTGTCAACAGCACAGTTCGCCTGTTTGAATGGAACGCGGAGAGAGAACTGCGGAATGAGTGCAGTCACTTCAACAACATTTTGGCACTCTACTTGCGTGCCAAGGGTGACTTTGTGCTCGTTGGGGATCTCATGCGGTCCATGTCCTTGCTGGCGTACAAGCCCCTGGAGGGAAACTTCGAGGAGGTAGGACAACAGATGCTTTGTCTTGTCGGCCATGCCTTGGTTTGCTCTGCAAGCTATGTAGCCTTAATCGAGTACACGGGGTTGTAGGTTAAATTTGCAGCAGCTGCACTATGACGACGCGAGAAAGCAAAAATGCTCGTGTTTTCTCAGACGTGTGCATTTTAAACTCATACATGTTAATTGGCTTTTACTGACGAACCGGTCATTATTCAAGATAGTAACATCAGTTTTTTGCAACTGCATGCAAGACGAAATCAACTGTGTGTGTCGATGGGCAAGTTATAGCTAAAGTGGTAGCTTTGGCTTGTTGGTATGACATATTGGAGAGAAACGTGGTATGTGTCCTGTGCCTGATCTTTTGTCTTTCATGCTGTTTCCCTCCAATAAGCAAGTTATAGTCACCGTATTGGCCTATATGAACCTTGGCATGGAAAGTGAATTTAACTAGCACAAGGAAAATTTTTGTCTTGGTTTAATGCGGGTAAACCAAATTTTTCAACTGAAAGATCGGTTTAGTTTGCATTGGAAAAGGATGAGACCATAGGTTAGCAAAGATTGAACTTTATTTTATGTCTTCGCTTTGGCTATAATGATAAGTCTACACATCATGACAAGGGAGCAAACGTGTTGCACAACACAATCACAGCACGACACAACACACCACACAGATTTTGCATTAGGTGCGAAACTGCAGTGAACTTGAATGCATCCAGTGGCTCTGGCAGGGGCAGCACGAAAGACTCTGATTGAGCTGCTGTTTGTTTTTTCAAACGCAGCGCACTAGTGTCTCACTGAAGGTCTTTCGCAGACACCGACCTCAACTGAGCTTGAAGGTTGCTCTTTGGGCGCATACCATGAAGAGCAGAGCTATATCTCTGAATATATTCCTCTCACCTTGGCAGGTAACAGGACTTCTGGGGGAGGAGGGAGGGATGTAAAGGAGTAGAAAGATCAGTAATATCCACAAAGTGATTATGTTCGAGGAGCTTGCTCGGAGGTGCATAGAGCCTTTCTTGACAAGACCATTTCTGTAGAAAGACTTGTTAGAAAGCTGGCGCATGATGTGTTCGTCGAAGGCAGCATTCTTGGGCACGTTTTGTGACTGGCACTGCACACTGTTGGCCACATCGATAGGGACAATAACCACCTGCCCTTTTATGTCATACTGCTCCGTGAGTCGAATGCCTAACGCTCATGAACAGTAGACGTGAAGCTATCAGGCGTTCAACAGTGTTGAGAGCAGGCAGGTGAGGGAGCTGGGGAGGATATCGGTACTTGTGCGCGACACTCATCGTAGAAACTTGTCATGTGCTGCCGTGCCTACAAAGCGACGAAAGCAAAGTGGATGTAGTCGAGAGTAGGCGAGCATGCGGGCCTTTGAAAACCAACGTGCCATCTAGTGAGCGTTGTTGGAAACACTGGAGATGCGACCGGAGCAGCGGCAACCGGATAAGCCAGTGTACTCTTATCCGGTTGAGCGGCACCTGGATAAGAGTACACTGGCAACACCGGTGTACATGCCGGCTGCCGCTGCTAGACAAGGTGTGAATAAGCTTGCCAACCTAGCTCCTAAAAAGTTGGCTTGATTTTTATCAGACAGACAGCACCTGAATGTACAGCATCAAACATTTAGGATTTGTTTGTGCTTATGTACCATGGACTCTCATCAAACGGAACCTGAATGGACTGAACAATGTGTCTCCCACACGTTGGCAGACTGGTCTTAGACATTTTTTGTTTTCCTTCAGCGATCTTGATTAAACTGCAGAGAGTTATGCAGTTTTTTCTGCTGATTTCAAATTATTCCTGTAACTCACCTTGTTCCTGACATAACTTAAGTTCACCGCCTATTGTTCAAGGCCGCCATGAAAAAAAGTGATATTTAGGATATGTCGACATAGACTAATGACTATAGAGTGAAAGTATGGAAGTTTTTCTGCTGATTTCAAATTATTCCTGTAACTCGCCTTGTTCCTGAGATAACTTAAGTTCACCGCCTATTGTTTAAGGCCGCCATGAAAAAGAAGTGATATTTAGGATATGTCGACATAGACTAATGACTGTAGAGTGAAAGTATGGAAGACTTTAGGACTTTATCGGTTATTTTACAGCAAAACGAGCTATCCATTTTCAAAAGCAGTTGAAATTGTGTTACAATTTTGATTAGTAATTCAATAAAAAGGCATGTGCTCTAAATTCTGCTCCCATACTTGCATTCAACATGCGTACAGGTTTCCGCTGGAGAGAGAATTATTGTTGTACCTGCCCTAGGTGCAGAGATATTGAGGCCTCAAAATTGAATAGTCGCAAATTTACTTTTTTGAGAAAAATGGAAAAGACTGAAAACACAGTTTCTTTAAAAAGCAACAATCATGGTGTGCATGTTTTGCAATCCTTATAAAGGCACTCATAAATTGGTACTAGAGCTTTAGACAGGTGCTGGCAAATTGTAAAGACTCCTCAAAATCGGTTCCCCATTTGTTCCAGTTTCTGCATGGTAACAGTACCAAGAATCGGGACAGTTAGAATGATGTTACAAAAAAATTTTACTTCCTGGTGTGTGAAAATTTGCAGAGATATAGAAAAATACTTCCAGAAACCAAATATGTAAACTTTACAAAAAGAATTTTTTTGTCACTTTTTGGTCTCAAAGACCAGTCTGCCTCCTGAACAGGAGTTCTGTTTGCTGAGAGGTGAACAGGGGTGCAGAATTCATGTTTGAAACTACATATCAGACAGTGAGTCGTTTCAACTAAACAGCAGTTCTGTCTCCATTTACTGAGTGCGTTTCATATTGTATCTACTGCATTGAATCAAAGCTGTTCATTTTTTTTTTAAATGTCTGCATTCTTACTGCGTAAAATTGGATGACCCCTGATTTGAACGAATCGCAATCTGTAAGTTGGGATTGAGCAAGCTAAACTTCTGTTCCAGATTGCGAGAGACTTCCAGACCAACTGGATGACCTCTGTGGAGATTCTAGATGATGAAACTTTCCTCGGGGCAGAGTCTACGACAAACCTGTTTGTTTGCCAGAAGGACAGGTAGGGTGTTCATGCCCCGCTAATTAATGTGAAGGGCAGCGCAGCTTGGCATTTGTGTAGTGGCCCAGCTCCATAACCACCAACTCAAGGTCATCAAGTTTTCGCGCTACTGCACAGTGAAAGACTCTTGTCCTTTCTGTAAAGTGTGCGTTTCCCACAATCTCTTTGGCTGCTTTGACGGCTTGCTGAAGATATTATTACTATGAAGTGCTTTTATTTTATAGCCACACTAGCTACGATGCGATTTTTGTCTAGACTGTGTTTGCTGGGAATTAATATTGCTGGTTTCTGCAGGGAAACTCGTTAATAAGAAGGATTTTGCATAACTAAACATTAGACAGTAATGCACACCTACTAACAACTATGACTTTGTATCCCTTTGCACATGCTGCGGCCAGTTAAAGAAGATGCACTCAAATTGCAATATAACAAACTTTGATATAATGCATTATTGGTTATAACGAAGTAAGTAAATAATAGTTTCATGATAGGTACAGTGTTGTGAATATTCATTTATAGTGAATTTCCAGCTATAACGAAGTATTTTTGTGGCAGATTTGACTGTTGTAATGAGGTTTGAGTGCAGTAAGTTTAATGTAAAATTTTGCACTAAATCTTGGTCTGCTCTTCAAGCTGATAAAAAAGAGTTATGCCTCCATGTGTTATGGAGAGACACTGCCAAGTAGCATTCCACAAACTTTCAAAAGGTGCTGTGTGCAGTTGCAGTGCAGACATTCAAACAATTTTGAAAGCTTTCCGTACTGTAGGTGCATTTAATCATGTAAATAGTATCTGTCATGGTCGACTGTCATCAGATAGGCTTCCACTTATAAAATTTGAAAAAGAAAACAGCATGGAGCATACAGATTCACAGGACGACGACAAATGTACAAAATGGAACGTCTCCACTGCACACGAAAAGATGTCTGTGATGATGGTGATGTCGATTGAGATGCTTGATTTTAGTTTTGCTTAGTCGCCAGGCTCTGTCGTACTCCCTGTGACTGGTTTATAAGATGGTAGTCAATACTTTATTGTGGTTTTATGGAAAGAAGGCTTAATCTTTTATATTCCACTGTTTACTGTAACTAGTATATGTACATAAAGAAAAGGAGTACGTTTAATGTTTGACATGCATGTATGTGTTCGCCTTCACCGTGCTCTCCAACAGTGCGGCCACGACCGATGAAGAGCGGCAGCACCTGCAGGAAGTGGGGCAGTTTCACCTGGGAGAGTTTGTCAATGTCTTCAGGCATGGCTCACTCGTAATGCAGCATCCTGGCGAGACATCCTCACCCACGCAGGGCTCTGTGCTTTTTGGCACCATCCATGGTGCTATTGGTGAGTTCCTTTTCATTCTTTTGCTTTATCTTCCTGGAGACGAAACATCTTATGGCAGAGTTCAATCCGAAGTGTGGCATTTCCATTTTTACTGCGCATGTGCCTCCCCTTTCTCTCCTCTCCTACGCTTCACCCTCTCTCTCCTCGCAACGCCGACACATGCAGCGTCTACTAGCGAGTTTCTTGATTGAAAAAACCGACTGCTTGTGTTGCACAACCGTTCAGTGGCTACCATGTATACCGTATTTACTCGCGTAATCCTTGCACTCGTGTAATTCTCACACCCCCCACATCGCCCAAGGAAAACGCAATTTTTTTTTCCTCGAGTAATTATCGCACCCCCAAACCGCCGCAATAATGTCGTTTGCTCGTTCCAGCCACTGATTATGATAGCGCACGCCATTTGGCACCATCTCTTAAGCATCAAGTGTACTGTTACACGCAGATTCAATCCAATCCAAGCCAAGCCGAAGTGGCCAGTGCGCGTTGCGACGTGTTTTGTATGCTGTGTTGGTAATCTTGGCACGTTATGGGGTGCTACTGAAGTTACATGGCTGCTTCAAATTGCAATTAAGTGATAGATCATGCACTAAACGACGGCAACAGGGCCGCCAGTAGGCCCTTCAGAGTCTACGAGTTTTGTGTTCGCTACTGCTGACGGCATCTGAAAGCCACCAAGACGCGTTGGGCCTGCTGTGGGCCTAAAACTGGGATTGATGGTAAACTTTATTTCTTCAAAAGGAAACTGCGGACGATTCTGTTAAATAGCCATCAGCCCAATACTGACGTCCTACGTTTACCTTTTGAGGGCTCCTGTTAAGCGCCGACCACTACCGCTACGCTCACAACGCCCACAAGCTTCGCGTATGGTATTCTAATTCCCGACTATTTGCTTCCACTTTTTGTGTCTGAAATAAATCTTGCCTTGTGTTGAACCTCGGCTTTTATTGTTGAGGTAAGTTCTAATCAGTACTTCTTGAAGCTTGCTGTAAGTTGCTGGTGTGAGAATCACAATTTGCGGCCACTTAGTTTTCTTTTTCGATCTGTACGTATGCGTGGAAAGTTTTCCTCGCGTAATTCTCGCACCCCCCAATTTTGCTTCAGTTTTCCGCCAAAGAAGTGCAAGGATTATGCGAGTAAATACGTTATAAGGGCACTGGATCTTCATCTCCAAGGTAGTGCCAGTGAAAGATTTATCCTGTGCGTTTTTGAACAATAAAAATTTACAGCAAGCGCGTTAACTAAAAGTGGACTGCCGGTCTCTGTGTCAAATCAGAGTCTTCTGTTTCTCATTGCCCGTTAGCAGAGATCGGCATGTTCCAGCAGGAAACACCAGTCCATCACTGCGTGCTTTGAGCCTCACCAGGTTTTTCTCCTGCGCAACGCCACGATTATTGCTAGTGTAAGCGTTAGCGCCCGCCACTTTGCATCTGCACATGGTTTCCTTTAGCGAGAGATGGTGTAATTTTTTCTGTTTCTTTCTTAAAATCTGCTTTATGGCACACCATACTATAATAAGTGGAAGCCCATAGAGGCAAGAGCATTTCGACAATATTGGGAAGCTAATTGGAGATGCAAAAATTAACTCGTTATTTTGAAAATTACAAAGGTCTTTTATAACAGGTACTTTTGGCTGCACATCACTTACACTCGGCCTAGTGCATTCGTAGCGTCCCGCGAGTGCAGGGAACTGCAGAGATTTTGCATTTTTGACGAGCGAGTCTTGCAGAAACTCAGCCAGACTGGCTGCTAAACAACGCCAAAACCAAGTGGACGCACCTTCACGCTCCACTCATTTGACTTCCTAAGTAGAGCGAGGGATACATTTTACGTTCTGCTGCTTGCATGATCATTTCGCGCATGTGCACTATACACTTTTATGCAGTCGTGTGTAAATCACTCTCATACTCTGGTCTGACTGGAGCAAATCTCAAATGCTGGTTCTGTGAATTTTTGTGGAACAGTTGAAAAGGCTTCTGTTTTTTTTAAGTTTATCCTATTACAGCATTCCTTACAGCCAAAAGCGGCCTTGAGACTCAAAATAACATAAGTCAATCTACTTACTGTTGGTGTTTAGCAAATGAGTGTCCCTTGCTTTGCCGCATATTTAATTAGACGTGATCAGATTAGTTTGACGTCTCGGATATTTTCCCTTTTTGAAGCAGGCTTGGGCTGTTTTAATGTTGGAAAAGACAAGACGTCGACCTGTGGCTAACAAGCTTATTTGAAATGTCGCTGCATCTTCTTTTTCGACTGCAGGTCTTGTGTCTCAGTTGCCTGCAGACTTCTACACCTTCCTTTCTGAGGTTCAAGAAAAGCTTACAAAAGTGATCAAGAGTGTGGGAAAGATTGACCATGCTTTATATCCTTTTGCATACTTAAGCTTCCTGTGTTAGCTGTAAATAGGTATCCTAATTTCAGCTGCATTCAAGGTGACAATCAGGTATAATATTTGCTTTTCAGCTTTGCCAAGGCTGATGAATACAGTGCAGTCGACACTTAGTGATACCACATATAACGATATATCGGTTATAACGATGGGTCGACTTAGCAATCTCATTTTATGCATGGGGTCAATGGAGGAAAAAACCAAATACAGTCGAGCCCACATATAACGGCCCCACTTAAAGCAAACTTTCGCTTAAAATGAACAATATCCGCGTGACCATCAAAATATACAGTAGAATCTCGATAATACGATCACGGCTGATACGAAATTTGGGTTGATATGAATTTTTCTGTGACCTCGGCCGAGGCTCATTAATTTACTATGTGCTAGAGTATTGTTCTTACGTACTGATTTTTTACCAGAGTTGTTTGATACGAATAAACGCCACCCCACCGACGGCCGCGGAAGCAAGCAGCGTGCACGCACTCGCTGAAATGCGTGCTGCGCCTCCGGTTTGGCAAGTTGTCGGCGCCACCTGTGAGCGGCGGGCGACAGACTCGCAGATCTGCGCGATCTCGAACGCCGGAGTGCGCCTTTTGCTTTCTCTCGAAGGCTCCAGATGGCGCTGGCGATGGTGGAGACACAAATCCAATCCAATCTTCGTTTTGCTTGGTGGTGGGTGCTCTCTGGTGCGGACACGTGGTTACTGCAGTGCGGAGGCTGTCAACAGTCTTGCCCAGTCGAGCACACGTATTTGTTTTGTTGTGCCTTTTTGCAGAATCGCAGCAAGCTATGTCTCGCAAGCGGAAGGCTCTCTCCTTTAAGGAGAAACTGGACATTCTTCGAAAGGTCGATGAGTCGCAGCCAGCCATGTCTCGCAAGCGGAAGGCTCTCTCCTTTAAGGAGAAACTGTACATTCTTCGAAAGGTCGATGACGATTCGAAAAGAAAACGCACGGAGTTGGCTAAAGAGCTAGGCCTCGCTACGTCGACATTGAGCACAATTGTTGGACAGTGGGACACAGTAATGAAAAATGTGCTTTCGTTCAGCAGTCAACGCGAAGCAAGCGAAGACAGCCCAGACGTGAAACTTGAAGAATTTTTATTGATCTGTTTAAGAATTTTACTGTAGCCGGTGTGAACATTGACGGCTAAGTTTTGCGTGAAAAAGCCGACGAGATCGCACTTTGCTCTGCACACTGACGGATTCCAGGCGTCAGGTGGGTGGCTGCACCGTTTCAAGACGAGACACAGGTCTCATGTACAAAAGCATCTGCGGGGAAGCCTAGAAGGCTGACGAGACCGTTGTTAGCGACTGGCTCGCGAAGCTGGAGTCTCTTATCTCGGGGTATTGAGCCTCGTGATGTTTTTAATGCAGATGAGGCAGGCCTGTTTTTTAATCTTCAACCCAATGAAGAGCCTTTGCTTAAAAGGTGAAGTGTGCCAAGGAGGCTAAAGAAGCAAAGAAAGAATAACGGTTCTTCTGTGCTGTAACGCTGACGGGTCGGAAAAACTGAAGTTGACCATAGTTGGAAAATTTCCGAAGCCTCGGTGTTTCAAGCGCGAGAACCATTTGCCATGCGCCTATCGCGCAAAAAAAAAGCGTGGATGACGGCGGTCCTGTTCGAAAAATTTTTGTCTCTCCTTGACAGGAGAATGGCCTGCAAAAATTGGAAGATTGTTCCGATTCTTGACCAGTGCGCTGCGCTCCCGAAGCAAGTGACTCTTCAAAACGTCAAGCTGGTTTTTTTGTCCGCAAACACGGCGACGCACTTGCAACCAGTTGATGCTGGCATTATAAAAAAACGTTAAGGATCATTTCAAGAGCCTTCTTGTGCACCGCATCCTTGCCAAAATAGACAGGACAGACGAAGGTGGCCTGCAAATAAGCCTTTTGGACCCCATTCATTTTATCTCAATGGCTTGGGATAGAGTAACACCGACTACCATTGCGAGTTGTTTTGGTAAATGCGGCTTCTTTAGGATTCCCGAAGAGGTGCCACAGGCCCTTTCAGAGTCGGAGGAGCCCATTGAGGATTGGGAATGCCTTGATGCTGGGTGTTCCGCTGACGACTTTTGCACGGCGGATGACAATCTTGCCACTTGTGGTGCGCGCACGGTGGAAGATATTGTCAACGAGGCCACGTGTGAGGTTGCCGATTCCAGCGACGATGACGAGGAAATGGACGAGTGCGACGGCGAAGGACTACCACCGGCGGCTGAAACTGCTCGCGCTCGACGTCCTCAGGCGTGCTATGGCTTCTGGAGGAATCAGTGATGACACGTGCACGCGTTTTTACGGATTTCAGGAAAGTCTGCTGAGTGACTTGAAAAAAAAAAAAGAAGCAGAAAGACATCAGAGATTTTTTCTCCAAAAAATTAATTTTTTTTTGAGTGTCAAAAATGAGTTTGCCTCCGACTTGGTGCTAATTTATCTAGTTTTGTGTGTGTTCCGATGATACGAATTTCGGCTCTTACGCATATTTTTTGTGACCCCACGAGATTTGTATCATCAAGATTCTACTGTACATTGGTTCAATGGCACGAAATTGCACTTACAACAAACGTCTCCGAGCGCCGCTGATCGGTTACAGCGAACGGAGGCAGCGGTCTGCCGACTTCCAGGGAAACCAATTTCGACCACCGATTAGGCATCGGCGAAGTGCCAATACATTCTTATTGTTAAACGCCGACCCTGCCTCCGCGACCCTCTAGTTGCCGCTCTCCCTAACCCATGGAGGAAAGAAAGCTGTTTCCTTCCTCCATGCCCTGACTGCTTTTTGTTACGCACCCCTACGTCCTTTGTCCCCCCACTACTCTGAGCACCCCGCATCGCCAGACGAGGCCCGTGTTTTCACATTGACACCGATATTTCGAAGACCGGTCTGCCATCTACCCTGTTTTTGATCGCTAGCACTGTCATTGGCGGCGCCGGATTAGAGTGACCAGACCATTTACCAACATCGTCGGCCACCGACTGTAATCCGATATTCGGCGTCTAGTGCACTGCACGTACGCTACCCCACCAACTCTGATAACTTGCGATTCTTTCGTGTTTAGGACTTGTTCTCGCTCACTTCGCCCTCAACTCAGTATGCCTTCCGCAAGCGTGCGGAAGCGCGAAATCGGTTGTTAATTTGTGCGGAATGATTCGCGAAATATCGAAGTTCGTGAGGCTACGCAAACTCGCCGACACAACAAAACGATTTTTGACCACGGCCGCTGATTCTTCTAACACCGCCGTGCGCACCAATCTAGGCGGCCATGCTTTGACTTCTGCGCGCGAAGGCACTTCAAGTCTTTCTATGTGCGAGTTTCGCGGACCTTTCAAGCAAGCTACTTGTGGGGTCTTGAAATGGCGAGAGCGCGCCACGCCACGCTCTTGGAGTGAACGGACACAGTAGACGCAGTCGGGGCAAACAAACACAACATACATTTATTTAACTAATTTACAACGACGATATCGTCCGCCAAATGATACATCAATCGTAATTAACACTCTAGACTTCATTGCACAATAACTCGACAAACACACTATAACACACCCAAGGCGGCGTCGCCAACGCTCGACTTACCATGTGGGCCTACCCGGCGCGCAGGCCCGCGGTGCCCCGCGCCGAGGAGACCCACGCTTGAGACAACCGTTCATGGCAACCACAACGTGCAGGAGAGGCTCGCTCAACTCTCGCCCGCCACCAAGGCCTGCCTTCTGCCAGGGGTCACCGCTGGGGCTACCCCTCTACCAATAGTGGTACTCAACGCGAACACAATGCCATCTATCGTCTGGCGGTTGTCACTCCCGAAAAACGGCTTCTGTGCGAGACACGTGCGCCACGCGACACAAACACGTTTACAGGGGGTGCTAGCACCCCCACATACTCATGTGCCTCCTTCCCGGGTGTTTTGGTTTTCAAGGTCGCACTCCCGCGCATCCTCTTCCCTCTTTATCGCAACTCCTTGCCCTTCTCTCGCAAGTCTGCTCTCCTCTCCTGATCACAACCCCTTCGCCCGTCTCCACCACTCCGCGACGCCCACCACGCTGGCTCGAATTAGTTTCGTTTTCTCACTGGAAACGGGCCCAGAGCTGTTCCACGCGTTCTGGCATGTGTGTCGCGTGTGTGCGTCTTGCTCGCCCTTGGTGTGCGTGTGTGGTCATGATGGCCGACGGAAGGACTAGCACGCTTTTTCCTGCCGCTCAACAAAACGTCGAAAGTGTGACCGCTTGGCTTGAGCGTAATCCGCACGTTAGGTGCCACATTATGGAGCGCTTGCTCATAGCTATTGATCACCTGGCAGCCAACTTGCCACTTCGGGCGTCCCGGTATTCAGCTGAACATGAAGATGGTGATTATTTCGTGGGCGGCGGTGACGGCTACATGTGTGCAAAACTGTTTTCGCGAGGCTGACTTCGTCGACGTCGGGCCTGATGCCGAGCCTGAAGCTTCCGAACTGCGGCGGCAATTTGTGGCAGCGCGTCGTTGACTCCGACCTAGGAGAGCGGGTGGGACATCTGTTGCGGTGGTTTAATTACGGCCGACGATGAGGCCGACACTGCGAAGTCGTGCACATATTGGGGCATTGTGAATGAAGTATGTGGTGAAAGTGATTTGGAGGAATCGGATTGCGAGAACGACGAAACTTTGGAGCCAGAGCCTCAAGAAGCTTATGCCACGGGCCTCGGTGAACGAGCACCCTGTTGTTTTAAAGGAACTCGAGACCGCCCTTATCGCTTCTGCTATTCGAAACACGTGCATCACGGACTTTTTGGGACAAAGAAGTTTGCGTTTTCATTCACAACTTTTTTAAAAGCTGTGTTTCATTTACTACGAACTTCGGGATACAGCGAACGGATGCCACGTCACGCTCAGGTTCGTTATAAGCAGGCTCGACTGTATAACTATACGTTATCCGCCGCATATAGGTTACAACAATAAAAAGTTTGTCATCTGGATGGCATGTTTCATGCAGAATAATCGTAATGTTTGCATTGATAAGCTCCTATGAAACAAACAATGCCGAGACAAGATAAGTTAGCGTAGATGAGTTCGTATCTGCCACCATTGCAGGACAACCCCAGTAGCGCATCCCGCCCGTTCAAAAAGCTGAAGAGAGTATCGAGAGTTGGGTGGTGCGCTACTAGACGACGCCAGCAGTGTCGAATTTTGCATCTTGCCGAGCATCAACTGAGGGATAAGAAAGAAGAAAAAAACGCGAGAAGCGAAGAGGCACGCTTTGTTGCTTACTGCCTCCTATCGACAGGAGGTTAGTCATAGCTTGCTGAACAAAAGCAAGAAAGGGGAGAGAAAACAAAAAAAGGCGAAAAGCGAAGCGGCACGGTGGCAACGGGGCGAGGCTTCGGTAGCTCGCATCGTTTCTTTATTTACAGTCGCTTGCTACTGCCAGCGCGGCTGGCGATTCAGCTCGGTAGTGTGCAACGCATCTGTTTTATGGATGCACACTTGTCCTTCAGTGCGCGTTGTGCTGTGAAATACTTCTCACTCAAGAATGACGTTGCTGTTCGTTGTCATCGACAGCTATTACACCTTCTGATGCCAGAACAAGGCTAGTGACTCCTGAGAGGTTTTCAAGATACCGCCCATTAAGTGCAACGAGTTGCAACAATTGACACGGTTGCACAGATTCGAAAGTGAGAAACTGCGGCCGACATTTAGAACTGCGGCCGACACTGCGGCTAAGCAAGTTGCGAGTGTGTCACTGAGTAAGTGTTGAGGTTTGCGTAATTCAATGCCTGCTCTAGCACTGTAAACATGTCGCAGTTATTTGTGCAGTACCTCGCCATCTCTCACTCGGGTTTCGTTAACGCTTCTGCAGGGTCTGTTTGTTTGTTTTTGTCAACAACATGCTTACTTTTTCTGCTTGACGTTATGCACTGACTGGTTTGAGTTTGCAGTACTGGTTTGTGCGCTTAGCATGCATGCAGAAGGACGATCGAAAACGCGAAGCTTCAGATATTCCGCGCTACTCTTTTCAATAAACAAAAGTGGAATGTGTAAACGGAGGGTAAGATTGATACTCTTCATTGGTTTTTGTTGCTTGTTCTTTTATTTCGGAGCAAATTACACCCTCATCAATTTATCTCTTCCAATTACTTTATTTACAGATACTGCAATCACCTTTGGTGATTTTAGCAGGGTGGTACATGAAGTTAGTCATGAACAAATGGCAAGTACAATGACATATAATATATACAGGTTATACAATGTCTATAGGGCAAATACACACTTCAACTGGCAATATCATACAATAAAAAATAGAAGACTGCAATTATACAAGCATGTACAGTGGTATGTAATACGATTCAACAATTCAACTGGTTAGTGCACTTTCTACTTTCGAGGAAAACAATGCCAATGAGGGTGCTGAAACAATTGCATTAGTTAGTTTGTTCCACTCGACTATGGTGCGAGGAAAAAATGAATACTTAAAGCAATTATTGTGTGTGGGAAAGGGGGTTATGGTGAGGTCATGTCTCTGCCTGGTGGAGTAGCCAGAAGAAAAAGAAAAAATATCGGCTATATCTACTTGATATTGGCCGTTAATTAGTTGGTACAGAAACTTAAGCCTTAAGTTACGGTATCTTAATGATAAAGGTGAAAGTTGAGCTCTGCTTAATAGGTCAGTAACGGAAGTCCTCGAAAAATTATTGTAGACAAAACGAACTGCTCTTTTTTGCACTTTTTCTAATTTGTTAATGTTAGTCTTAGTAAAAGGATCCCATATAATAGCGGCGTAATCTAATATTGGTAAAACAATTGATTTGTACGCTAAAAGGCGGACAGAAGGAGTGGATAGTTTGAGAGCACGACATAGAAAAAACAGTTTGTAAGTTGCATTGGCCGTTACATGTGTAATGTGTTTGTTCCAGCAGAGATCATTCGATATGAAAAGCCCCAAGTACTTATAATTAGTGACTTCAGTCAAAAAAGTGTTGTTAGCATTGTATCTGAAATGCAAAGGTTTTTTCTTGTGTGTAATTCGCATAAAAACAGTTTTATCAAAGTTGTAACATAATGTAACATACTTTTTTTACAGGTTATCACTTGGATTATACTGAAAGTCAAGTTGTGCTACTATTCAAAGTTTCCTCTAATTCCTTTGAACCAGAAGGATGGCATTTGCACGTGCCTCCTTTTATTACAAAGAAAAAAAAAATTGTGCAGGTTAGTTTGGTGTTGGCAAATAGTACGCTCATTTTTATTGATAACTGTTAGAAATCTAATTTGAAATGATTCTACCAAATTTCTATTAGCCTCACTTAAAATTTGCTATTTGTACAGGGCTACTACTATCAACTAATATAACTACAAGGGCTTTTCAAATAGATTTGGAATGTTAACTTGCATTCAATTAACGGTTTTGTCTTAGTCCTATTGCTGCTAAACACTGACGTGAACTTTCACATTGTGCCACTTTGATTTGCAGGATTTAGATAGGCAGATTTCTATCAAAGAGCTTTAATGCCAGGAAAGTAGTTCACTTCATCAAGGTTTATGGGGTAATTTTCATTCTTGTGAATATTGTTTTCATGCTGTTGAGGGGAATTTCCTTGACTGTTTCCTGTGCACTTGGCGCTCAGTTCTCAACGGAGAGGAAGACAGAGCAAGCAACAGGTTTCATAGATGGCGACCTCATCGAGAGCTTTCTCGACCTCAGTAGAGACAAGATGCAGGAGGTTGTTCAGGGAATCCAGGTGAGTCTGTATGTAGGAATGAAGAAAGTTCCGCTAGTGCTGGAGAGTTTTGTTACACCGTCCCTTGCGCATATCTGGTGCTTGGCTGCTTCTGGTCTACTGCATGCCTTCAAGTATACCAGCTGGTTAGAATATTGTTCTAGAAGTAGTACATGTCACTACTCTTGTGGACACCTGATATTGTTGATCACAATGCTAGCTTAAACATGAAGAGTGTTGCAAACAGCATTGACAGGAGATTGGTTGCAATTCTTCAAGGTCACACAAGTCTTTCTGACTGTTTCTCTAGTTTCGGTCACGTTTAAAGGTTTTGGCAGGGCAAACAGGTCGTTTTGGTATCAGCATTGTATATCGGGGACTGTCGATATTTTATTGTTAAATTGTGCTTGATCAATAAGAAAGCTATTGGCCTTTGTGCAATTTTTGTTTGTAGCTTTTCTTACTTTTTTGTAATTGAGTACCTAATTTTAGGCTGGAGTGTAAAACAGTGCTTTTTTTTCTCAGAAACAAGAAGTGTGTATGACTGTGAAATTTTGCACGCTAATTCCACATAGTAGTGGTATTAATTCCTTGCTAAAAGAGTGGGCTGCATTTTTCTCAAAAAAATATGGGGCTCACTTGTCATGTGCCACCAGAGTAACTTTTAAATTATTATTTTTTTTTGTTTACAACTCCCACAAGTTTTTAACGTTTTAGGCTCAGACTATTTGTAAAGGGTATAAGTACAATCTTTAAAACAAATTTCAGCAATCAGTTAAATAGTTTTTCAAAACTGGCGCATCAAATTGAGAAAATTTTCAAAACACTGATTATGAGAAAATTGCACTTTTCTTTTTCAAAATGCGTATGAAAATTGGTCTCATCATCAACCCAATGACTACACTACAAAAGTGTAGCAATTAGTGAAAAAATTTTCTAATCTAGACCAATGAAAATGCAAAAAATAAATCCTTGTATTCGTCAGGAGATGCTGTTATTGGCACTATTTTTAAATAAATTTGAGCACTGCTAGGTGCTCGCCGGTGCATACCTAGTTTTCCTCCTCAGTGTATGTTAAGTTCTTTTTTAATGTTGGAATCGAAACCTTCTTTTGTTTTAAATTTTTTTTTTGGGGGGGGGGGGGGGGTTGACTTGCAATTTTATACTCTCTTAAGCAGTTCCAGCCAGTCGTGTCATAAACCATGTCAATGAAAAGGCTCGATACCAAATGCTGCTGCAGTACGAGTCATCTTCCTAGCTTCTGCTCTGTCTGCACAACTGCTTCAGAATTTCGCATAGCTGCAATAGATATCTCCTTGTGAGAACATAATGAGAGCCATTTTTTTTCCCGCAGATGGACGATGGCAGTGGCATGAAGAGGGACACTAGCGTGGATGACCTTGTGAAAATCATTGAAGAGCTGAGTCGTATTCATTGAGAGTGGTTGTGTGTGTGCGTGTTGTTTTTCAGGGCTTTCCCACAAACTGCGTCATTTGCCCTCACTAGTTGCCCTAGTACTTCCGTCATCACTGTTCATCGTTCTTAAAAAACACACGTCTGCCACCATTAGACCATACCTTGCTTTTCTCTCCCTTGAAGATGTCATTTTCGCTTTTTTTTTTTTTTTGAGGTTCATTTTGTCCAAGCAGCTCAGCGCAAGGGAGCACCGGTTTGCTGTGGGAGCGTCTTGTGTCCACTTTGTTCGCCCAATATTGTATGCGTAGATTCACGGATACAAGTTCGTCCGCTGTTAGGGGGCACACATCGTTAGTGTTTCACTAACGGTAGCATGTTTAGTATAACACAAAAGCCCCCAGACTTATTTTTTATGATTAATATGTTATTTTATAAGTTGCGCATGTTTAAAATTAATCTAATTATGTATTGATTAGGTGTTTCTTCTAACGGTGGGCTTCTCTATACCTTGTGGTATGCACTGGCTACAAAACCAATTGCCTACAATCCTTACATGGTCCTTCGTTTTAGTCATGGGGTCTGAAAGGCTTCAAATACAGTAAAGAAATCAGTGTTCGAAAGAGAGGAGCAAATGCCATCATGCTACAGTCTTGAAAAGGGCGTCAAAGCTGTGATGAAATGTGTAGTGGATGACGACGCGCCACTTTTTTTTTTTACGGGCATTTGACTGAAGAAACTGGGCGCAGCTTCCGGTATTGAGGAAGCTCTATTTGCATCATCTTGGTTTGCTTCATTGTGGGAGTTTCTGCCCCCAAGTACATTGTCTAACACAGTTTTTAATTGCCACAAACACATTTTACACGCTTTAAGTCGGCACTTCACATGGGGTCACATGTAACTATTCTCACCTGGCCTACTTGCTGGTAAACCCTTGAGGAAAATAGTTTAGTTGAAGATTGACTTTCCTCTTAGGAAGTTTATTATAGCCAGAATTTTCTTACTTTGGATTCAAGAGCTGGCTTGTTCATCCATTTTTCACTATGGATGAACAAGTCTTGTATAGAACAATGAATTGCAGAGTGGATCCGGCATCCGACATCAACCAGTGTGTCACCAAGATTGAATTACTGCCGCATTTTTGTCATACTTGGCCCATCGTTTGGCATCAACCTTGCCTAGAGCATTTCATCCACTTTAGGACATGATCATTGTCTGCTGAAGAGCTGTACACCACTCGAGTGCTCCTGCCAAACAGTGCTGTGGTGTGTACAATGTGAGGAAATTTGCTCGCTACCTGCTTTATTTTTTCAGCACTGGTTTCTTCCTGGCATGATCAGAGGCATGGGCGTCGGCAGGGGGGTGCAAAAGCTGCACTCGCCCCCCTCATCCCTCACCAGTGCATGCCCTTTCTCAGACGAGATGCAACACTGGTTTGCACTCCACAAAAGGAAATTCTGCCGACAACCATGATTACAGGAAAAGTTTGTTGCTATTTGTAGACTGAAATTTTTTTTTTTAGCAAAGCATTACACGATGCACCCAATATGTGCAACAATTTAAGTTCTGGCAAGGTAATAGCTGCCTTACAGAAAGCTGTGTAGGCACGTTCATAAGCAAGATCCCGTCCTCACGTGCCGTGTTCCGTATTCGAAAATTGCTCGCAATTCAGCGTTAAATAGTGCTTATTAAAATTATCATTGTTTTGTGGCTATACATGTTTAATTATCATTATTCTGGTTTTCCTAAACTACCTAGAAGCTAACAAAAAAAATAAAGGCACACTCGTGAGGCTGAGCTCTGAGACGAGTGCTAATAGCTTGCATAAGTTACTTCAGAATTGCTTCCTTATATATATAATTGGTTGGCATCATTAAGCCATATTTGTGAGTGTTTCCCATGTGCAATTATGTGCTTCATAGATACACCCATGATAGAGGTTTGCCCTTATTTACAGACTTACTCACTTTCAACAGCATCGACTAACTTTTTTAAATTTCATTAACACCCCTTTCAATGCCCATAAATTGCCAGTCACTTGAGGGCTAATGTAAGGATAATAGTGAAGGAGTTAGGCCAGGCACCTTTAGCATCATCCAAAGTGTGTTGTACCAATCATAAACCTGTTCGATACGCCAGCAGAAATGATATTGAATTGTGTGGAACTGCAAATCGGCAAGAAGCTTTCTCATTTTGTGTAACTGTATCACAAAAGATGCGCCATTGTGCATTGTATCACCACCATAGTTTTTCAGTTACATCACTGCCAAAGGAATGTATAAAGTTTTTATTTTGACATTGAAAACAAATGAGTGAACTACATTTCTGTAGCGGTTGGAACGAGCTGTGGTTACCATCGATTTAATTTTTTTTTAACATTTTCTGCGAAATATTTTTCTGACATTCTTTTGAGAGGCACTTGTTTAGTTTCTGTTTAATATCCTATACTTCACAGATTTGCATTGTGAAGTGTGTAATTTATGGCATCTTAGGCTTCACTTTGGGTTAATATCGTGTTGCAGCATACGTGCAATCTTGAGTTAAGTTTGATTGTGCTCGTGCAAGACCTATTCTCCTGTCAAAGCGGTGATCCATGACAATAAGTTGCGAGAAATTTGCTTTGTGATGCATACACTGCAATGTGTAAACTGTGAAGGTGCAGATTGGCGTGGAGCCGCAGTTTTTCCCAAGTTTTACACAAGAACACTTGTACAGATTTATTTTCCCGCTGTGCTTTTTAAATCTTTCTGCTTGTGTTGTGTTCTCTTTCGCAGCTTGCACAGAATTGTGGACAGTGAAAAGAATAAAGGTTTATATGTTGAAATAATTCAAACAAGAGCATGTCTTGTCACTTATTGTTCAATATGCCCTATGTGTCGCAGCAGAACGGCAGCTTGTGTGTTATTGAGGCACTGCTTTTGCAGGGCTGCTGATTTGTAGGTAAGGAGTAAATTGTTGCTTCTAGTAACCAATTCTCATTTTGGTTTGGATATGTCGGGGTTTGCATTGCAAGCAACTGAACTTGTAGTAGCTGGAGTTGAATGTATGAAGGTGATGTGAAAAGGTTTATTGGTTCTTTAAGGATATTACAGTGGTCAGCGGCGAGGCAGTGCGAAGAGCTGTCTAGATGTACAGCAGCAATCAGAAGCACGAGCCGAGGGATAGCGTAACATTGGCGATGCTGCTTCATGGAGGCAAATCTCCTTCACATAGAAGTGAGTCAGTTGGGCTAGTTGTTATGACATGATGATAGTTATAGCGCAAGAACAGAACGACAATGAGACGACAGGGAGACGAGTGCTCGTCTCCTTATTGTCTCTTTGTCGTCTTTCTGTTCTCACGCTATAACTAACGTCTCCTCCACAATCGTAATATATGTTCGTTGTATCGTTATCGCGATTTGATTGCGCACTCTGTTGTGAGATATCGTGCCTGAAACTCAAGTGAGGCGCACGGAGATAATACACAAAATAGCCAGTGCAACGGGATACAGACTGTAAAAGCGTCATGTTGTACTACTGTAAAACTTGAAGTGGACAGCGTGCGCACTCAGTGATTCCTGTTCGTAGAGTTCCCTCTGTTCCCTTTACCAAAGCGTCGATGGTGCCAATGTTGGAGGTAAGCATGAAGGGTGTCCCCTGCACGAGCATAACAGAGTCATAGATCAAGACATGTGGGCGACTGCTTCGTCTTATAGACTTCCTGTTTGTCACGGCAGTTGAGGTACACCTTGTCTGCAGCGAATTCCGTTCAGTTCTATAAGATGCAGCGACGCAGAGTGTTTCTGTAGCCTAAACGGTGCACCAGCAGAAGTTCCGGTTCGCCACTAAGAATATAGGAATTTCTATTTCAATGAAAAAAGTACATAGATAAGGAGCGTATGTGCTAAATACTGTTAGAATTATAGTAAATATGGGGGTATATATGTTAATCGTATTATTATTTTAGATCATTGTTCATATTTTTAACCTTGTTTTGAGCATTGCTTGCCTTGTTGTGGCCTCTAATGGGCCGCTTCACTGTGAGCATTGTCACGCCACACGAGGGTGCAGTAGGGTAAATAGACCAACAAATGTACTTCTTAATTTCGTTACTAAAAAATACACGCCCTGAGCAGCAAAACCGTGCATTGGAGAATGCGTTGGAGTGCTGAAAGTCCTTTTAAATGGTGACGGAAACCGTTCCTCCTGACGGATACGCAGACTCTTTTCCAACATTGTTTCTGCGCTCATGCATTTTTTAATGATAAATATGGCTCTTTCGGTTGAATATTCAAACTTCCTACGATTCTCATACCTTTTTACCACAAAATGTTTGCCAAAATGCATTCATAGCGGAATTATTGCTGCACATTGTAAGCACGTTCCGTGCCGACCTCGCGTATAAAGGCGAGATTTTCTCGCGATCAGAAGTCTTTTCAACATGATTAACCGTTCTTGGAAATCTATGCAATTAGATGCGCTCAAGTTCTCTCAGATTTACCGAAATTTCTTTCAAATAGCCTAAACCTAAAACACTGCAAAACTGTTAGGTACAATTATAAAAAAAAAGATCAACGGGGAAGTATTACTTGTGGCATGTGACAAGGAAGAATTTTTTTTTTTAACGAGATAAATAGAATTGTCAGTTTTTATAGGTTCGGATCGATACCAATATCATAAGCGTGCCAAACATGGCAGTCATACCGTTTTTGGTTTTTGCGAAAAGGTCCACTGAATTTGGTACTCCACCAGAACCACTTAAGAAAAACTACAGGGTGAAAATTTGGTACGCTGAAGGCAACTAGCTCTCTTAATGAGCAGGCAAGACTTCGTGATAAAATGTGGTACAGTTCTGGAGATGTAAAGCTGAAACTAGGATAACCTGTTCAACTCTACCATACCCTACCTCAACGGAAATTGCGACGTAGATAACACAGTTGTATAACGTTTTAAGCATGTTTCACATGCGAGTAATTGAGCATCGGTGGCCGCGGCGATCGAGCGTTACAGCGACGCATGGACGCTGCTTCGTTACACGGGTTTACCGCTCTGGTTAAATTCGCTGTCGTGCTGGTTGGTGCATGTCTGTATTAAATAGTCAACTTCGCGCGAAACTCGCTACCACACAGAGGAAGAAAACGCATAGAGACCCCGGATGCTCACTTACAACTGTTTTTTGGTTCCTTGACGAAACAGGCTATTTATAAACCCACTTCTCGTCGACAGATGCGCAACATGATTGGTCCTTCGCTTACTTAATCACGCTATCGGACACGTGCTCTCTAGCTAACGTGTTGACTCATATAGGCTGAGTGACGTTTTGCTAACACAATCAATACAAAGTTTCTTTATGTGATAGGCCTCCCAAGGTCTATAGTGGATAAAGAAACAGAATTATGTTAGCGAAACGTCACTCAACCTGTAACGGTCAAACACGTAATCTAGAGAGCATGTGTCCGATAGCGTGACTAAGCGAAGGGCCGATCTTGTTGCGCGTGTATCGACGAGAAGTTGGTTTATAAATGGTTTATAATAACTTGTTTTCTCGAGGAATAAACAGTTGCAAGTGAGCGTCCGTGGCCTCTGTGAGGTAGTGAATTTGGCGCGAAGTTCACCATTTGATCCGAGTGTACCGCTTTTGCGCGTCGCTCGCCGACGCAAAATAGCAATCGCTTTCTTGGCTTTGAAACAGGCGAAGGCGTGCAACCCACCAGAAACCCGCTCGCTTCACCGCCTATGCGAAGTTCACGCGGCGGAAGTCGTCCGAAGAACTGTCCGAGACCGTAGCGGAACGTCCGTCCGTTACACAGGAGGCTGTGCCGTACTGTGGCAGCACTAGCGTATAAACAATCCAGAAACGTATGCCTAAACCACGTGCTGTAAAGATCTGGTCGCAAATTCTGAGTGGCGTACAAGGTGGTGGTGGTTCTTTGTGATTCTCAACGGCGCAATCGCAAACTACCCGTGTTGCACGACAGAACTCATCACACTTCAAATTGTCCTTCTCAAAGTGTTAACTTTCACGTCAGTGTTACTATGCACAGCGTTGCCCGGCTTTACTGCGCGAATGCTGACATTAGTAGCAGCAGCATTGAGCTATACTTATTAACTCTATGAGCAGCACCGCCAAAGTAGTGACAGCCACAGCAGCAGCAATGGTCATTAAACAATTTTAGCCATGGCCTCCGCGATGGAAAGTGTGCTTGGTTCAACTGGGCCGCGCTAGATGGCACGACCTGTCCAGTTTAACTGAGTTACTGTATATGTCAAGTTTCGCATAACTTTTCCTTCCGCTGCTTTCGTCACTGTTCGGCGAGCGCAGTCACGTGGTGCAAAGTGACGTCAAGTGTTCAACTTAACGCTGCGAAGCCAATTTTACGTGCACGATGGCGCGGCACCCGCGCCGACTTTAGTCTCATCGTGACCGCCATTAGGAGTTTTTAGCTTGTACGTGTACCTCCTTACGTTACCGTGTTACTGGATATAATCTGCGCATATGCGGGCCTTTACAGAACGTAGACCCTCACGTAACGTAAACTACTCGCCAGTAAGGCTTTACGTTTGCGGCGCTATTTCGCAAATCCACCTTCGTTCGTAGAAACTCGCGATATCTGCACTGCGGAGACTAAAGACATCCAGTCAAAATAAGCAGAAGTCCGAGAACCGATAGCGATTACATTGTTTCAGCCGAATTACCAAAGCTAAAATAGCCAGAACAGCGAAGCCGCGAACGTGTTAGCCCCCGGTTGGATGGATGGATGGATGGATATGGCTGTACCCTTTAGATCGGGCGGTGGCTAGCGCCACCAAGCCGTAATACTTAATAAATCAAAAATTAGATTTATTTTTTTTTCTTTAAAAAGTGAGTTTGAGGGTTCGTACTTTGCAGTGAAGAGTTTAATTTTCACTCGTGCCTTAACTTTAGCCGCCAATCAAATAACCTCCTAGTTAAGTCTACCCGCTTAAAGTCTATTTTGCCCTCCTGGTCCCTAAACACCAGTGCTTCAAAAAACTCTGCACCATCATCCTGAACTATAGGGTGAAGCCCTTTACAGAACATTATCAAGTGTTCGGCAGTTTCTTCTTCCTCTCCACACGCACTGCATACTGTGTCTACACCTTCGTATTTGGCCCGATATGTCTTGGTTCGCAGTACTCCCGTCCTGGCCTCAAACAGCAGAGAACTACCCCGAGTATTATCATAGATCCTTTCCTTGGCAAAGGAAAAAAAAAATTCAACATATATCTAGTGCGGACTTCTTAAACATGCCCGTTTTCCACATGTCAGTCTCCGTTTCCTTCACTTTCTTCTTAACCGATAGTTCTTTTTGGTTTGGCCACCTGCTGTTTTCAAGTATTTACCAATCAACTTCCTGGTTCGCTTCCTCCATTTTGTATCAACATTCTTCATGTACAAGTAGCTGAAAACCTTCCTAGCCCAATGCTCCTCCTTCATTTCTCTTAATCACTTCTCAAATTTTATCTTGCTGCTAGCTTCCCTGCCCTCAAATGATGTCCATCCCATATCACCTTTTACTCCCTGATTTGGTGTATTCCCGTGAGCTCCTAAAGCAAGCCTACCTATTCCACGTTGCTTAATTTCTAAATTTGCTTGAATTTCTGATCTCATGCACAAGACCGCATTGCCGAACGTCAGACCAGGAACCATGACTCCTTTCCATATTCCTCTCACAACATCATACCTATTGTAATTCCACAGTGCCCTATTTTTCATCACTGCTGCATTCCTGTTACCTTTGGTCGTCACGTACATTTCGTGTTCCCTCAGGTACTCGGTCCCATTGCTTATCCATACGCCCAGATATTTGTATTTATCTGTTATCTCTAGCGTGAC